TCTTAGGTTGGAGGCCATGGCTATTAGGGATGGAGGCCATGGCTATTGGTTTGGAGGCCATGGCTATTAGGGATGGAGGCCATGGCTATTGGTTTGGAGGCCATGGCTATTAGGTTGGAGGCCATGGCTATTAGGTAGGAGGCCATTCGCTGATAGGTTGGAGGCCATCACTATTAGGTTGGAGGCCATGGCAATTAGGTTGGAGGCCATGGCAATTAGGTTGGAGGCCATCGCTCTTAGGTTGGATGCCATGGCTATTAGGGTTCAGCCGCCGGGTGGGCCAGGCCAGCACGAACTTCTCCAAGCGAGTGCATGAGTCACTCCGATGCTTGCCCCAAGCACGGTCGGTGAGTTCCCCAAGGAGTTCCCCTTCTTCCATTCTTCCCCGGTCCGGTGACGGACATCCGAGCACCGAAAGAGGCGATTTCATCATGGTTGCGTGGATGGGATGACCCTAGAAATCGCCCCAAAGATCCCCAAAGAGATGACCCTGAAATCCAAATACCAAGCAGGTGGTTTTCACTCACTCACTCACTCCACGAAAACCATGTTTATTTTTTTCTAGGGCATTTCGATCTGTTGACGGTGCTGTTGACGGTGTTTGCCATGAATCGAAGAGGTACCAACGTTGGTAACTCGGCCAGTCTTACACTCTGGACCACTCCTTGCAGGGTGTGGAGCTTTGAATCCTTGGGTGCAAAGCTGGAAGTTGTTAATACCAAGGATGGCATATCACCAAGCTGGAGCAAGTGCTTCGAAAGTTGAACAATGATCAGCTGGACGCTGGGCCCAGCAAGTCAATGGCTGGCTGGGGTTGGATGGAGGGACACGGCTGGGACTGTGCCAGGACAGAGTCGCGGAACCGACGGGTTTGACCATGGTACCACCGGCCCGCGGGTCTCCCACTGAGACATCGCACACCACTTTCGGGAAAAAAAGACACGTTTTTAGATACACTGGAATAGAAGTCCCAGACACCTCCATGGGATTGCCATCTATGCCTGACCCCCAGTCAACCACCGCAGTCCGTTTGGTCCGACGTGGTGTTGTGCATGGCGAGGTTCGACCGTGACATCCGGGGGGGGTTCAACGGGCCCATGGGAGCTGGTTGAATTGGACCCGGTGGTCGAAAGGCCATCTCTTCGGTTTTGGATGGTTTTGGTGTTCCATGTTAATATTCATATTATAGTGGATTGAGAGTAGATGGCACAGACCCCAATGTCTGTGGATTATATGGACCCCCATCTAAAGGACATCTCGGGGTTTGTGCCATCTACTCTCAAACCACTGTAGTATTCATGTATATTATTTATGTATTATCTTCTTCTTTCAGTTGTTTGCAATGCCCGTTGGGTTGATCAGGAGTTCGGATTCTCCTGGCTTTCCTTCAATCTGGACATGTGGCATCGCACTCATCTTGCGGAGAACATTATGGAGCATTAAGTCAACATTATTAGTCATTAGCACTAATCTTGAAGATGCTTGGGAAAACAAAAGTCCGACCCCAACGGAATGTCTTACATGTCCAACATGATATTTTTTGCATCTCTCAGTGAAGCCATTGTGTTCAAACGCGATCCATGATGTGCTCAGGGTGAGTGGTTGAACGCACGCGCTTGGCTTGGCCGCCTAAGGACTTGGAAAGCCTCGAGGGGGTCAAGGATTCGCTGGAGATGTACACCAATGAAGAAGTCAACCCCCGGACTGCCGAGGGATTCCAAGGATACGAGGACAGAGGGGGTGCAGAGGTCGAGAGCTCTTCTGGAAAGGTCTTGTTTACCATTGACAAAAGAGGGATAGATCAAGAAAGGGCATGTCGTAGGGCACATAAGTTTGCGGTGCCGATTGTTGTCATTGTTGTGCACCTGGGTTTGGCTTCGGGGGCTTGCATTGGAGGAGATGTCCAATTATACAGGAGCAACCAGTTTTTTGTTGTTGACCAAATAGACTTTTTCATCACAGAGCACTTCAGCAACAGCATGGGCATTACTTGAAGCTCAGGTCGCATTCCGAACTCAGAAACTGATTCTGAGTGGCAATGACCGATTCTGTACCTCTTTATAAGGACGTGAAAGAGTGTAGGCTTCTCACCCTTCTCACCCTTCTCACCCAAAGTGAGAGCCTCTTCGCAGTCATCAGATTCCAAGCCTTCCCGTTCTTGGACACGTGCCACACGCTTCGCCTCACGCCGCGTTCATAGCTCGACCAAAAAAAGGGAGAGTGTGCCTGTACCTGGTTTTAATGAGATGTTTTCATATTTGGCAACGTCGTGTTTCCTTCTTTTTTTGGGGGGGGGGCGTTCTCTGTGAAACTTCCAGTGATAGTTGGATCAGAGAGAGAGGGGAGAGAGAGAGAGAGAGAGCTTTCAAGCGCGAGGACGTCTATGACGACCTGAACCTGGAGGAAGTCGAGGATTATTTGTTGAAAGATGCATCCAAGGAGAACCTTGATGAGAAAGATGACGAGAAGGAGGAACCGCCAAAGAAGGACCAATGTCGGGGAGGGTTGCACTCCCGGTCCAACGAACCATGGACCCTGACAAATGGACCAAGGAAGACATGTCTGTTCCTCTACAAAACCAGTGGTTTTCAGGGTCCATGTGAGGTTTTTTCCGAGGGGCATGTGCTGATCCCAGAGAGCTGAACCACCGCGGTATTGCTCCGACACATGCTTTCGCCAGGAAGAGCCGAAGCCCAAAGAGGTGGCCAAGCCAGCGGCCAAGGTGGCTCCTACGATCTCCACCCGACCTGTGGTGGAAGACAAGGTGGAGAAGCCCAAGCTGATTGCCACGCGAAGCGCTCCAGCAGCTGCCCTGCATCCCAGCCAACCGACGCATGCCCAGATGGCAGCGCAAGTCGCCAGCTTGGCACCGCTGGCAGCGCCCAGTGCGGTACCGCCAGGTCAGGCGCCGAAGCAACCGCCTGTGGCACCAGCACCACCACAACAAGCGCCCCCGCCGCAAGCACCACCGGCGCCGCACCACTTGGATAGCGGGAGCTCAGTGCCCACGGTGCCACCCCCCTCCAAGCCGCCACCGTCCCCGGACGCGGTACCTCAGGCAGCTGCGACACTGCCCAGTGCCCCATCCATTCCAGCCATGCCAGCGGTGCCGGTGTCTATGCCCCACGCTCACGAGCCACCTGCTATGCCTCCACCGCCCCCCCCGTCCGTGCTTCCCAGTGGAGGGCCAGGGCCAAAGAAACCACCCGCGCCCATCCAGGCGGCACAAGTGCAGGGAAGGATGCAGGGCCCTCCACCACCGCCCAACGAGGCGCCGCCCGTGCCTGAACGTCCCCAGGATGTGGCAAAGGCAGCAGCCCAGGTGCAAGCGGCTCCAGCGGTTGAAGGACACCCGCAATACCAGGTTTGGGTCAGATGATGTTCAACCTTTGTTTGGGACTGATGACGATTGAACCGACTAATAATTTGTTCAAGTGAGTTGACACCACTCCCCCTCCAACAATCATGGAAGTGGACAATGGCCCCTTAAAGAATATGTTTCTCTACCAGGAGGGGGTCGTCCACTTTCATGAGTCTTGTTTTGTATCCACTTGCTGTGCCGGCTTTCATCGTCTGTTTTTTGGACCAGACGATGGGCGAAAGTACGTGCTGTTGCTGATAGAGCACCTTCGAGTTGTCCACTGCATCCCCACTCCAAGTGCCCTTGGAAGTGGACCATCCCCTGTTTGTAGAGGACATATTTTTTTCCTGTGCTTATTTTCATCCATCAAATCCACGTCGATATTCCATGGTTACTGGGAGCTTGTTTCAGGGAGGGTAATCACTTGGGTTGGAGCTGGCCGGTTTGATTTTTGTTTCGCATTCTGTTTCCTGACTGACCGGAACAGCATGGGCGAGCTGCGTATCAGGGATAAATGGAACACAAACAAACTGATACAAAGCGACCGGCCTTGCACACTCCGCCTTTGACTGTCGGATTGTCCCCCTTTCCCAGGCTGTATATCATCGTCCGTCCAGGCTTTTTTCCTATCCCCAAAGCGGTTGTCATGTTCCATCGCTCCCCCGATGTCCAAGACATCGTTTGACTTTGACTTCCCAGGTCTATAGCCTTAAACAAAATTATATAAGCATAGACCCCAAACAGCTTCAAAACGATTCGTTTAGACCAATATTAGTCAAACATTGATTTCTTGGTACGCCCTACTTTCACCCCAAGAGCAAACTGCTTCATCAATGAATTTTTGTCGGCATTGACATCGCTATTTGTTCGGCCACACTCCTCTCCAGTAAGCCGGGCCACAGAGCCCAGCCACAGAGTTCAGGGGCGCGGCCAAGACAAGGACAAGAGGAGGACAAGAAGAGGACAAGGCCCAGCCACAGAGCCCAGCACAAAAACAAGAGGAGGACAAGAGCCCAGTAAACCGTCCATAGCACACGAGCGCGCGCGCGCTCGCCCTGCTCTTTCTTTCTTTCTTTCTTTATTTATTTCTTTCTTTCTTTCCCAGTCGCGCAGCCCAGCCACAGAGTTGACAGAGTTCATGGGGCGCGGGCAAGAGGAGGACAAGCTGGATCCCCCAACTCCAAGTTTTCCATGGAACAATCGCTCGGTGACAGCCACGGGGACAATACTACAATTGCGTACACCGTACATGGCTACTCACCGCGGAGTCCCAGGTATTTTGATCAGAGATGATGCTAAATGCTCTGACACTGACCATCCCACATACCTAAACTCACTCAACTCAACCAACCTCATGCCTCTAATTGAATTCGCCACGCCTGGCCGAATCGTGCTCACTCGTCCTCCCCCTTCGGTCGCGCGGTCGCTCCGCGGTTCCGCGCGGAACGACGAGGAGCGGCGGAGCCACTGCTGGCCTATACAGACATCCCTCCCTTGACGGAGGCGCAGGAACGGGCGCACGCGCTGTTGGAGGCATCCGGACGCTTCTTGCCATTGCCCAGCGATGTACCCAAGCCCAGGAGGTGTGGACGGGGTAGGGGTGGACGGGGGTGGACGGAGTGGACCGGAGATGGGTGGTGTGTGGGCTGTGTGGGGCATGCAAATCGAGGTACCAGGTTTATGAAATGGTATGAATTGATCGCTCATGATGGCTCATTTAGCCTCAATTGGGTGTGACACTTGTTCAATGCACTTTCCTGCAAGGGGCTGCACTAATTAGATAGTGGATAGTGGTGTTTGGCCTGTGGCCGGTGTTGCTGATTTCTGTGGCAGACATTTGGCAGCAAATTGCAGACATTTGTTGATTTCGACACGTGCTTGGGTCGGATCATGTGGGTGAGCGATTTTCAACGTCCAAGCCGCTGGGCGTGCGTGTCTTCAGTCGTGGGCCGAAGCCTCACATCGAGCCATCATCACATCTGCCAGCGTTTGCAACGAAGGAGTTAGTTACTGTAAACATCCCCCACACTCAATGGCTGGTGAAATTAGCGACCTTTGCACTTATAAAATGACCAAGCCAGGTATTGCTTCATAAACAGCACTTGTGGATACTTGGGGCAGATTTTAAAAATACATTGAGCCGTATACGAGGGAGCTGTGCTTTCAGGGTGTGCACATGTACACATCTGGTCGACCAATATAGACGAGTTTTTCTCCTGCCAAGTGGTGCTGCATTTGTTATCACCGATGCTTCTGGGGGCCTTTGGGGTGACTCAAGTGGTCACTGGTGCTATCTTGGCGCCAGGTGACTTAGTTTACCAACCCATGGCGGCCAGGTTTACCAACCCAGGTGCAATCCTGGTGACTCAAGTGGTCTGGTTTACCAGGACCTGGTGTTCTTTTTCCAACCCACCACTGGTCGTCTCGCGACACTTCCACGTCACTCGGGCAGGTATTCGCCCACCACGCCGTACGTGCACAAGGATGCTGGGAAGGGGGATGGGTCCGCGCGTGGTTCTTGAGACGTGAACATCACAGTTCCATATGGGTCCCAAAACCCCGGAGCTGTACCATCTATACCGAAAGATCTCCAAGTAAGTAGTCTAGTCTGTTCATTTGGGGTGGTCAACCAGTTCCATAGATTGTGGCATCACAATTCAACCCCTAGGGATCCGGTCGTACCTCCTCAAAAGGTACTTGGACCCTCCAAACTCACCCCAAACACCTTCTCAGAGGGTACTTGAATCCTGAGGGGCATGATTTCCACGCAAGGTCTTTTTCATGTCTTTTCCATCTCTCGGTGGCGTGTCATAAAAGCTGGTCCGCTGTGGCAGTGGCAGTCACTATGAGGGACTATAAAGTAACTCTATCTGGCTCGGCGATGAGCACTGCGCCGGCATGAACTGAGAGTTGTCAGGCACTTGATGTGTTTTCCTGGAGCCTTTGAGTCCAAGACTGTTCTTCACATGGTCTGTATAGGTGACCCGGAGAAGTTCTTCCTTTACTTTGGTGGGGCCAAATGTAGTCTTTGGACTTGTTCGGGTGGCGAGTGCCTTTCTTCCTTTCCTTGAGGACCCGAATGGACAACCCTACTATCCAGTAGAACCTGCGCGCTCGTTCGATGACCCTGGTGCTTTTGAGCGCTACGACGTGGACACTTTGTTCTTCATTTTCTACTACCAGCAGGGCACCTATCAGCAATACCTTGCGGCCAAAGAGCTCAAGAAGCTACTTCACTCACTGGAATTCAGTTTGGTTTTTAACCCCAAATCTTGGCAAGTCAAGCGTCCTCCAGTCACTTATGTTTTGGCAGCAACGCGTCTGGACATAGACTTAGACATCAATGCATTGACTGTCCAACCTGTGCTGCGGTGCTCCAAGGCTCTCATGGCGATACCACACCAAGCACCTCATGTGGTTCCAGCGCCATGAGGAACCCCGAATGACTGCCGCAGAGTTTGAACGTGGCACCTATGTTTACTTCGATTATGAAACACAATGGAACCAGCGATTGAAGGCAGACTTCACCTTTGAGTACGTTTGGTTGGAATCCGCAGATGTCTAAATGAGACAGCGGCCTGAAGGGTACTCCATCCGAGTGTGGCAAGGCAAGACAGACCTGCGTGGCCCTTGCCATTGCAGGCCTTCTGATTCTGGCACGTAGTTATGATCGTGCAAAAAAAAAAGTGTGTTCGGTGTCACCGGTGCACAGACGTCATGGCCGGTCGAAACCGAAAAAGTTCCGCCGTGAGGGAGCCGCTCCGGGGGCGCACAGAGCGCGGAGCAGGATGCATGCACGGCAGTAGATCGTGTTTTGTGAAGAGATGCCGGTTTTGAATGGTGCTTCCCTTGGAGGGTGCTGGAGGTGTTTTGGGAATACAGTGGTATGACATTGAACACTGTTTCATCTTCTCTGTGTGGCTTGCCCAAAGACAAGAAGTGGGTCCCACCAGGCTGGGAGAAGCTAGATGGACTTGCCACTTTGGACGTGTTGAGCCGATTTCTCCATCCTTTCTGCTCTACCTCACATTCTGGTCAATGGAGATGTTATAAGCTTAGGAGGGGGGGTTCTGGTGCTTCCCTTTCACCACGGGACGTGGGATCCGTGGGTTCACAGCGGAGCCGGATTTCCATCGATTTCGAGACCTGACGGGTCCACGCGCTTTCCGTCAGGTTGCCAAGCTCCAGGCCCCGGACGCGGAGAGACGATAGACGGAGTCTACCCACCTGAGAAGGCTTAAATAGGGGTCCTAGTGAGGTCCTTTTCTACTGGTAAACACTGTAGGAGCCGGAATCTTTAGTGAATCCTTGTCTAACATTCTTTGCCCTGAATCTCATCAGGAGACGTTTCCGTAGGTTCCTTTGCCGAAATGCATTGGATCGCAAGATGATGGTTCAAATTCACCATTCTTCCAGGGCTACTCTCTCTCTCTCTCTCTCTCCCTCCCTCCCTCTCTCTATCTCTTTTTTTGTCGGCATGCATGTCTATTCTGAGGCTAAGGGTGCTGCAGTTGCTGGAGAATGAAACCTGTTCCGCTGAATGAACAAATGCATCACAAAGCATCGGCTTGCTGTGGGAGAAAGCACGATAAAACATGGCCCCACTCACCTCAAAGGCAATACTCTGCAAGGTTTTTGGCCAACAGCCCCTGGCTGATGAACAAACACTTTTGTCAGCGCAAAACCGGCAAAACCTTTTATAGCGAAATATAGCGAATGATATTGCTGGGAAGATTCCTGAGACATGTCAGAATCCAATAGAATCCATGATGACCATTGCCTGTCGCTCTCACCATCCCTTACAGGTAAGCCTCGTTTCGCTGCACCTCCCCTCGGTTGCTAGTGCTCCGTGCTGCCTAGGAGCAGCATCGGCAAGACAAGCTGGAGATCGAAAGGCCGACAGACCAGTTCTCGGAAGACCGACCGACCGGTGCACCGCTCGCATCCGCCCGCTTCACAGAGACCACCAGCACCTTCAATAGCTTCAAATGGGGTGTAACGGCCACGATGTGGGAGGATCACTCTTGGTGGCAATCTTCGGCAATGTTTGACGTGCATGGGTATGGGAACGACAACCAACGTGTGAAAGGTTCAAAAAAAAAGAGGTAACGGCATGGCGTTGCCATATTTACATCAGGTTGCACCACCTCCTGTGCACAGTCTCGGGCGCCTGGGCGCCCGTGCTGCAGACCACCCTGCGGGTCTGAGTGCGCGGGTCCGCTGTATTCCCGCCCGTCCGAGAGTGGATCCAGACCCCGGGATTTTGGGGGGAAAACACCGTTTTTGGATGCACTTCCTGAAACTAGCATGGTCACGCTGCATGGCATGGCCCCGAATTCCGAAGACCATTTTCCGCTAGCAAACAGGTTTCGATTCTTTAGAAGTATATCTTTTTTTTTGTGAGGGGTCAGGATTCAGAAAGTGAACCCATTAAGTCGCTGTCTTGCGACTTCCTTCACCCCAGCACCTCACCCTGTCCTTGCTTGGACGCCAGCTTACCTGGAGCGACTTCGCTCGCGTCGCTCGGTGTGCGCTTCGGCCTCACCGCTTCGGCGTTGTCACCCGTGACAGGCGTATGGATGAAGTGGCCCAAAGTAGGGAGGCGGAATTCCGAGACAAGGCGAAACCGAGACCTCGGACCTCTCGGGTGGTGACAGACAGGCCCTGTCTGGGCTGTGACTGCTTGATGTCTTGATGTCTTTGCGTTCAAGCTTTGACTTGTACATGATTGATGATGATTGTTGATATTTTACTCATATGCAATTTAATATGCCGTTGTCATCCTCCAAATTATATGAATGGTCCGACAAGCTTTGCACCGTATCTTGTGGACCACCTGCACTTGGAGTGTGGCCAACACGCTCTGAATAGGGGGTCGTGCAATGACCGCTAGTATGACCGCTGTGGACAGTTTCAACCAAGTGTTGAGGTCAGGTGAGCAGCATAGTTCTAAGTTCTAGACTACTACAAGACGTGGGAATTAAGAAACTCTCTCCAGACATACGCACATTGAGATTCGCAGATCATGCTGTTTCGTGTTTTTGTGTATGACTGGGTCGTTGCTTTTGCGTCAAGTTACTGCATATCACTCCTCCCCTGGTTCAAGCCAGCAGCAGGTTTGCGTGTTTGTGTTAATGTTCATGCGGTATTTTTTCATGCACTCTCACGCGTCTTATCCCGCTACACAGATGTCTAAAGTCTAGATGAAGTCCAGGGGCCACTTGAACTAACTTTTGCTTCCTCTCTTGTCTAGCCATATACGCTTGGTTGTACAGTACAGTAACTTGCTATTTCAGTCATCCCCTTTTGACTTGGACATTCTCTGCTTCGGGACGTGTTTTCTCGGCCACTTCCGACCGCTGCTTCGGCCTTCTGGCGCCAATGACTTGGTCACTGGGCCAGCGGGGACCGGGCCAAGAAGCCGAGAACACCGGGCCATCCGACTGGTGGTCTTCCAAAGCCATTGGTTTGACCAATTTCCAGAAACAGCGGAGAGTGGAGAGGGGCCCGGGCCCGGCCCTTTTGCACAGACACCTCCGGGTCTAAGCCATCTACATACTCTGAAACAAAGGTATGGAGAAGGGGGGTTGCCCGGCACGAGTGAAAACAGCAGGCTGCTGGCCTGTACATGCCTGAACCAGTTCGCCAGGTATGCGGTATGTTGGAATAAGGTATTGGTGTATATATATATATATATGTATTTACTTTTTTTTTTTTTGTATTGGTATAGCTGGCACATCGCCCAGAGATGTTTTGTTTCTTTTAGAAGCCGCGTTTCACGATAACAGGCAGGCTTTTAATCGTGACCCCTCAATTGAGGGGAGGTGAACATCATGGACATCTCAGTGTTCACCTCATTTGTTGAGAGGGTCGATGATCGATGTGCTGGCCTTCCAACTGTAGCTGCCATAGAGAGAAAGCGCCTTTTGACGGGAGACATCCGACAGAGGTAACTGCCGACACCTTGGAAGGTCGCGAACTTCACCTTGGAAGGTCCCAAACACCTCGGAAGGTTGCAAACTTCCATTGGATGTCTATGGATCCTATTGAATCCTTGTTACATCTTTCTCCAGATGATTGTAAGTGGTACTGTAGCAGTCAGTTGTCAGATAGTAACTAATTACTTCTTTTTGTGTGTGATACCTTGTGTGTGCATTTCATTGCATTTCTCCATTTTCATCCTTGACACCCTGAGGTTTCCACGTGCTGCACGTGCCTTGTCTCTTCGTGGGCAGAGACTCTCGGGAGTTGTCTGACCCTGAGGGCCGGCCTGTAGCTGAATATCTGTATAATGAATGCTCCCTCTCTCTATGTGTGCTCTCTCTCTCTCTCTGTGTCTCGATATATATGTATGTATATATATATAATACAGATATCAAACTTATCACTGGATTCTGCAGATGTGAAATCGACTGCCGTCGTTAGCAGGGTGTGGCAGATGTTTTTTCACTAAATCGGTGACCGAGAGCCGGAGGCGGCCTGTTTCCGGACCGGTTTGTCGTAGAGAGGAACCGGCCGTGCGATCAGACTCCAACGGTATGCCCGACAGGGAAGTTGGAGCAAGTGCTGCAAAAACCAGAAATCCCAACAAGACCCAGACACTGCATGGGACCTGGGACTGACGTATATGATATTACCGCATATGCTTACATTGACCGGGGGCCCCTGAAAATCACCCCAACGTAGGCAAATATGTCATATATGGAGTGTCTGGGAGAGTGGCATGTGAACTCATTGTTTAGAAGATCAGGTCACAGGTTCACGGGCTTTCACGCTGGTCAAGAGGATGGTGGAACCCCACGAATCCTGAAGAGGCTTTCACAAGCTCTCACTAGTTGCAGTAGTGTTAGGACTGGTCGCAGTTTCAAGGCGCGAAGAAATCGAGCGTGTTGCCAAATACTCGTAGCACGAACTTGGTACCGAAAAGCAACCAATTAGATTTAATGGATGAACTCTAGACCCATCATAAACCATTTTGTGGGGGAAGTTTGATCCATGAACTTCCACCAGCACTTCAAAAGTCCTCGCCACCGCCATCTGAAGAGAGGTGCCCCCTTCTGCCTGGGGCGACGCTTCCTTTGGACGCGCCTCGGTGCACCCAGCCTCAGCACTGCACAGCGGCGATGCTTAACAGCTACGGTGCCAACGGCACAGGCCAGGCCACGGAAGGCTCCACAGATTGAACCGGATTCGAGGTCAGAGCCGGAGGTTGCGTTCAGGCTGGACATGAGACTGAGGCCTTATTAGATCTTATTAGTGACAAAGCCTGGTGCCGCATTGATGCTCCCACCCCCACACTTTCATGAGACTCAAGTCTTTTTCATAGGCAGTCTTCGGAATAAATCAGAATAGTGCCAACTGCCAACTCTGGTTCCAATCTGGTAACCCTCTGCAGGTCGAGGGTTATCTCAACCCGATCTGGCAACCCTATCAGGTAAACTCTGTTAACCCAAGTCTCGATCCATCCGACGAGACCTGATCCTGCGCAGGGCCTGGTGGCAGAGGTTGAAGCAAAATCTGCAAGTGGACGGCCCATCCGACAGGATAGCCCCCTGAGCCTCCCTCCGCAGGGATGGGGCTGATGGAGGGGCTGCTTGCGTATGGATTTTTTTTGTAAGATGGAGAGGCTTTGCTTCATGGAAGTGGAAACGTCCTCAAGTGAGCCAGAAAAAAAAGGTGGATTGATGTTAAGTAGTATTGTGGGATCCTTCGTTCAGAATTCCACGCACCGCCGCAGCTGTTTCTGATGTTTTCTGTCTTTGTGGAATGTGTTATTTAGTTGGGGAACGACCCTCCGGACGACATCCAAAACGACATTGGAACGACCTCCTTAACTACGTACATCATGTATTTGCTGCTGCTGCTGCTCTTGCTCCTCTTGCTCCTCCTGCTCGTGCTGTTGCTCCTGCTCCTCCTGCTGCTCCTGCTCCTTCTGCTCCCGCTCCTCCTGCTCCTCCTGCTGCTCCTGCTGCTGCTGCTGCTGCTGGTGCTGCTCCTGCTGCTGCTGCTGCTCCTTCTCCTGCTGCTCCTGCTGCTGCTGCTGCTGCTCACTTTCGATGGACAGTATTTAGCCAGATTTCTCGGCAAAAAAACGACCTCTGAACGACCTCTGAACGACGTCCGCATTTCAGTCAGAATGATCACTACTACTGACTACTACTACTACTACTCCTGCTGCTGCTGCTACTACTGCTGCTGCTGCTGCTACAACTAGGAGTACTACTACTACCACTACTACTACTACTACTACTTCTACTTCTACTTCAACTACCACTACTACTGCTACTGCTGCTGCTGCTGCTGCTGCTACCACTACCACCTACCACCTACCACCTACCACCTACTACCTACTACCTACTACCTACTACTAACTACTACTAACTACTACTACTACTGCTACTACTGCTACTACTGCTACTGCTACTGCTCCTCCTCCTACTCCTACTCCTACTCCTACCCCTACTCCTTTGTACCCCTACTCCGACTGCTGCTGCTGCTGCTGCTGTGTTTTTGGTTATTGGTACTACTACTACTGCTACTACCATGGTTGCCGCCATCACCACATATGAAGACCGCCGCTTGTAAATCATACGGTTTGCTGTTGGGATCATGATTTTCGTACCATGTTTTTTCTACCTCAAGTGCGGCCTGCCATGAGAAGTTGGTGTTTTCTTGAAAACCATTCTGAAGTCCTAGACTTCCTGGCGTATATGCAACTGGATGAGCGGTTGATCAGCTGCTTTAGCTGGTTTTGAGAGGCATGCCTTTGCTCATCCATGTTCATCCTGATCAAGCCAACTAGGTGTTTCCAGACTCTCATTGAGCATGCGGACAAGGCTTGAAGCCCACCCCTTGCGCCCTTGCTTCGCCTTGCCTCGCCAGCGTTCCTCAGCTCGCCACGGCGTCGAAGCCTGCGCGCGCGCGTCAGGTATGAGAAGCTGACCGAAGAGGTGGAACGTCTGAGGGCCGAGAATGACCAGATCCTCGCGAAGGCGACTGACTGACCCAGACGCGACCCAGCCCGGGGTTTGGCCCGACTGGGGGGGTTGGAGCCGAATCCTCGGGTCAGGGGTCTGGGGTCTCAAATCTCTATAGGTTTTGAGGGACCTAGGGCTGTTTGGAGGTTTGGGTGGTCGACTCAAGTGAAAGACCAGTGATTTTCCCAGACTGAGTGAACCAGGTGAACCCCCCCCCCAGGACCGAGCGGCCCGTGACAAGCATTTCTCCCGACCGGGTGAAGATCCCCCAGATGGTGCTAACATGGTGACCGGGGCAAGTTCCTGGCAAGGGGCTCTGGCTGGAATGCGAACTGATAGGGAACGAATCTAGAGTTGGACCAGCACTTGTTCCACGAATCGTCAGTACCTCCGAAAGTTTCGCAGCTGGGCCAGAGAGGGTGGGAAGATAGGCTGTAATACATAGAATATTAAAGAATAATTACAACTCAATAGAAGAAAGGGATGGTAGCTTTAAAAAGGTGTTTAGGGGGTTTTACTTAAATAACAGGTTCCCCCCTTCCCCCTATGCAGTCACTTAGTGCCATCGGCTTCGGCTTCGGGCGGGGGGCTATCCGAGACCCCAGGTGGAGGAGTTGGATGTCTCCCGGAGGCAGCTGGTCTCGGACAGCTCCGGCGTGGTGGCAGCGACCTGGCCCAAAGGTGGCGGGTTCAACGCCTTTTGGTGTGTGGTAGATTCATTATGTAGGATGTATTAGGATGAGCCACACGCCAAATATAGGATGTACTATTAGGATGTATCCTTTGGTGTGAACTCATATAGATGTGGATGATTCTGTACAAGATCTTAAAAGTCTTAGGATGTAGATGGATGTAGGACGTATTAGGTTGGTTCACCCTTCACTCACGGTGTGAACTCTAAACTGATTGGCCCCCCTTTTGGTCAGGAACAGAAGATCGATCGGTGACACTCTGTTCGCCCAAGCTGGTTCAGACGTGAAGCATTGGCAGATACAAACAATCACCAACAACTTCACCATCTGTTGAATCTGCCATGGTTAATTACTTCTTTACAACTTCTTTAAACACTTATCAACTTATCAACTTCTTTAAAAGCAGGCCAGTTATGGTGAAGTACTGCGCTGGTGATCTAAATATTGCAGCAAGTACCTCTCCCAGCGGGTCAGTCGAGCTGAGCGCCGAGCGGCACGGTTCGTGCGCGGAACGGTTGGCGAAGTGGACGGTGGACATTTTCACGGACCAACATCGTATGTGATGACAAAACTGGACCCCTGCTCAATGCCAACATCATTTTGTGGATGTGATGGAGCGTTTTTGGAGGCCACTTGATCAGCTTTTCTCATTAAAGATCTTTTTTGGACCAGAGTTTCTAGGTCCTTTTCTGTTGGCTCTCCTTCTTTCCATTTTTTGCACAGCATCCAACTGGTGTGAACTGGTGGGAGCGATGTACGTACCCAGGCGAGCCGTTCGACTGACTTGGAGCGAGCCGTTCGACTAGCTAGCACGGGAGTTCCATAAGCCTGGCATTTAGCCTGTATGGATCAAGCTACGCTCCGACTCACTAACACCGACGTGGAAAACCCCCTGTTTGTAAGGAAAGTAGTCTTCCAAGGGGCCATGTTCCACTTCCATGTTAGTGAGTCAGAGTGTAGAGCAGGCTGCTTGAGCTTGGATTCGCTGCGTTGACCGCTGCGTCCAGCGGACGCGTAAGCGAACTCGCTTTGAGCAGATCACATGGAGCAGATCCCATGCTAGGTGTGATTCTCACCCTCTTTTTGGCATGAACATCTCTCAGAGTGTCCCTATGGGACCGCTAGACTAGAAGACTAGAATACAGTTTCATGATCTTGAGCACTTGATCTTGGTGATTCCTCCGTGTTGCCACGGAACGAGGCCATTGGTGAAGGAGGAGCAGATCCAAGTCGCTTGGACCGAACCAGGTCCGGCCCCTTTCGCGAAACCCACCGGCACGGTGCAACTGACCGATTCGAGGCGCGATGGCAGCGACCTTGGAGAAGATCGAAGAACTGGATCAGCACATGGGGGAATTGAGAAGTGTCCAGATTCAGTACCTTGGTCAGTCGAGGCCTCCGCCCATGTGGACGGGGCGGGGCAGGCATGTCAGGCATGTCTGAGCCATCGTCCACCAGAAGCCAGCCGGGGGTTCCGGTGTCAGGGAAGGACTGAGAACCAGAACCAGAAGTGAAAAGAGGTTTGTTCAACGCTGAGGCTTCCAGAGCTTACAATCTTGTATGATGAGAGGTGTGAGATGAACTGGCAACGATTCCTCTATAGACTCTATATAGCCAGTGAGGAGTATGGCCAGAATCTTTGACGTTGGGCAAGAGGCAGACAAGAATATTCAGAAGGACCAGCAAAGGGGCTGCCGACAGTGGCGTTTGATGTGCTGACAAGGCTGACAAAGACGTGGTAGAGAAGCTGCTAATGTGTATAATGGTCGACTAGTCGACGAATGCAAGTCTTAAGCTGATACCAGCATATAACTCTAGCAGCACTCAGGACTCCCAAACCTTCAGATCTTTGACCTCTTTAGACCCTTTAACAACCCGCCGATCCCTGCGAGATCCACTTCGGACCTCGCCGCCGGAGGGGACGGTTCGAGCCCAGGAACTACTTGAGCATCGGGGCATTGAAGCGGCAAGTGGTCACCGTCCAGAAGAATGAGGAGGTTTTCCCGGCGAGACAACGACGACGGGTGAGTGAGTTATCTTGCCAATCTCTTGGCGTTCTTTTCATGCGTAGAACGGTGACATCTGTACTTAGAAGCACTTAGAGTGATTCTGATCAAGATCTCTTTGGGGTACTTTGGAATGCCTGTGGCCCATTGAAGCAGAACCCAAGAGCAACCTACACAAGGCAGTACACAAGGCAATCGAAAATGGACCCTTGGCAACGTTTGCCAGATCAATCTCCACCGAGGGGTGTCTAATAAATATAACTATAATGGCCCCATAGAGGTCACGGGTGTCCATGAACCACCCTTTCTAGGTCCTGGGAGTCCTGGCTACTACTCATCCTTCAAAACTCCTTGGGACGTCCGAGCAATCCCACCCTGAAAGAACCCCAGTGATGTGCCTCGAGCCCGGGCCTCGAGCCTTGTGTGGCCGGGCCAGGGAAAGGAGTCCCGGGAACGGCAGCCCGGGCCCTGCGGGAGGGTTTTCCATGTTTCGAAGAGACTGGGGGGATGTCCAGTGATGGGATGAAGACAGGGGAATGCGACTTCTGGAAGGGCATCGCCAGGTCATCCGCCTCTCCACGCAAGTCTATGAAAAGATCGCCCAGGGTGAAGAGGTGCCAGAGGCCGGCGTGTCCTGGGGCAAGCACCAATTCCCAGGCCGTATCGGTGGTGTCGTGGCCAGAGCATCGCATTTGGTTCAACAAGAAGCTACTAGTAACAAAGGGCATCCCCACTAAATAGGAGCAAGGACGCCACTAGTAGCTCCTTGCATTACTTCTAGTAACAAGAAGCTACTAGTAGTAGGTGCATCGCTACTAGTAACAAGGGCATCGCTACTAGGAGCAAAGGGAACCGCTACTAGGAACAAGAAGCTGCTAATTAGAACTAATTAGTATAGCAATACATTATGGAGGGGTATTTATTTTTGGATTTTGTTTGTTTTCATTTTAGAGGCCTTGGAGAATTTGGGTGTGTATGACTCCTCGTCGCACACGTTTCGTTCGTGGCGGTCCGCTGCCAAACTTCTAGACGATTGGCGATGTGTTGTATCGGGGCCTTTCGTAGAGTCACTTTGGCGTTTGCACAACATTGATGTGTCCAGCGCCAGCACCAAACATGGACTTTGGTTGTGCTGGGGCTGCCACATCGCCTCGCTTTGGGGCCCATGCGAGCATGCTTATTGCTGCATGGAACATGAGGGGCAATCCAATTCTTGTGCTTTGCCGAAAGCACGTGCAAAGGGGCGTCCTCGCTCCCAGCCACAGGCTGCAGCATACCCTTCTCAGGTCGTGCCAGGTCTGACTCTTGCCACAGAGCTCTCGGAACCTCCGCCTGCTCCGTCCTCTAAAGCCTCTAGTGCCAGATCCGAGACAAACATGGCTGAAAACAAAGACTTGCGGTCCTTGCTTCGTTCTGTTGGCCTTGGGCACCTGTATCTCCCTATGCACCATCAAGGCGTTACTGTGCCTGCGCTGTCTCACTTTTCGTTCTCTGATTTTTCCCACTTGTTCAAGATGAACGTTGCGGAGTCCCATACTTTGATGGCAGCTCTGCGGAAAGTGGTGACCTTAGCTTCATGTATCAGCATGCCCTGGTTTTGCCGTTGCGCATTGCATTGTCTTAGGAACAGCAGCAACCATCAGAAGTGCAAACCTTAAGCCCTCAACTTGAACATTGGCAGTATTCTTTTCGATCTTGTCGCGTCCCTGTCTACGGCCTGAGGAGTTTTCATTCTTCTTTTGATTCATGTCTACGAGAATGTTTTCGACTTCATGTCAAAAGCACGCCTTGCAGACTTCAGGCAGCGACACCGCGCTCAAGCGTCCCAGCCTTAGATTCAGTACTCTTCCCCGAAAACCAGCAAAACCGGTCTGGTCGCAGAAGCAGCTCTACAGAGTAGCTTTGCAACTCAGGTAGCCGATACTGTCCAGTACCTATTGCGAAGCCTCCTCAACTTCATGCTTCTTTTACACACTTCAATCTTGAGGCCAAAGCAGACACCAGCGCACCAAGTGGCAAGGCCCAGACAGATTTTTCCTTCTTGACGAAGATTCAAATTGGTCTGGTCCAGGCAACTCCCAAAGCAAAAGTGCAAGCCTTAGCTCTTCAGCAGGTTTTTTCCCTTATTGACGAAGATTCAAGATTGGCCTGGTCAAGGCAACTCCCAAGGCAAAAGTGCATGCCCTAGCTCTCCAGCAGTTGAACATGCAAACTCACCTCATCAGCGAATTCGCAACCTTTCTTTCAAGTCAGTCTGTCGTCAGCTAGAATTTCATGCTGAGGCCAAAGATGTGCCAGCAGCCGCCCAAGCCGTGAAACACTCAGCCCTGGGCTGCTTCTCCCTCATACATAGCTTCGTCGTACGCTTCCCACATGCACCTTCAGGCGACCAACGCCAGCTACTACCGCCTTGGAGCTTACGGGCTGCTGCGGTAGCCGACCACCTAGTACAACACTTCCTGCTGCTTGCCTTTCGGACCGACTTGCCGGCCAAGGTTTGCGTCGCAATGACAATTGCGGAAAAAGGAAATAAGTTAAGAATATTTAAAGATGTTATATATATATATATATGATGTCTATTGATTCAAAGTTTGGAAACCTTTTGCTATGTACACATTTTTTTGAATATGAGTACGCTGGACCTGCAAAACCCTATAACGGTGGATGCTAAGGGCCACCAGGCTTTCGCCATTTCATTTTCCACTTCACCAAGCTTTCAACCTGCCTTCGCTCTGAAACATTCATATGTCCTGCCGAACCCCGCTCCAGTGGAATCCATCTATCTACCTTTGTATACGTGGGCTGGACAGAAAAGAGAGTTCATTCATTCATTCGTTCATTCATTCCTTCCTTCATTCCTTCCTTCATTCCTTCCTTCATGCCTTCCTTCCTTCATTCATTCCTTCATTCATTCATTCATTCATTCAGTCATTCATTCATTCATTCATTCCCTCACTATATTTTGTTTTCATGGCGGAGGAGGCGTTGCGCCGTCCCCGTGCCCCTCCCACTTTTTAATTTAGGCGGTTGCTTGCTTCATGTGTCAGCATGCCCTGGATTTGCCGTTAACTAAAACAAAAAAGCGAAAAGGCAAAATGAAAAAGACAAAGGGAAAGGCAAAAGGAATTAAGGAAAAGGAAAACATCAAAACACAAGTAGCTTCTTGTTCCTAGTAGTAAGGCCAGGAGCCCCTAGTAGCCTCCTTGCTCCTAGTAGTGCTGCCAGAAGACCCTAGCAGCTTCTTGTTCCTAGTAAAGAAAAAGGAAAAAGGCAAACCAAAACAAAAAAAGGGGAAAGAAAAAAGGGAACAGGACAAAAAACAAAAGAGAAAAGGAACACGTAAAAAGGACAAAAGGAAAGGAAAAAGAAAAAGGAAAAGGGAAAGGGAAAAGGAAATGAAAAGAGCAAAAGAAAAAAACAAAAGAGAAAAAAATAAATAAAGTCAAAACAAAAAGGAAAGGGAAAAAGGAAAAGGAAAAGGAAAGGAAAAAAGAAAAGAACACAGGAAAAGGAAAAAGGGAAAAGGCAAAAGGCAAAAGGAACAGGACAAACAAAAAGGAAAAGGAAACAGGCAAAGGACAAGGGAAAAGGAAAAAGGAAAAGGAAGAGGAAACAGGAAAAAGGAAAAGGAAAAGGGAACAGGAAAAGGGAAAAGAAAACGGGAAAAGGAAGAACAAAATAATCAATGGAAAACAACCGAAAAACAAAAACAATTCCAAAAAAAAACGAAAAAATCCAGAAATAAATTCGCAACCATACATTATTTCAAGGAGGCCCCCCAAAACCATGCCAGGAGCTACTAGTAGCGTCCTTGCTCCTAGTAGCGATGTCCTTTGATGCACACCTCGTGTGGACCATGACTCGATAGTCCTGGAGACCGTACGTCTCCACTTCAAGGCTTCGGAACGGATGGACAGATGCACGGATCAAGCAGTATAGTATAGTTAGTTCATGTTAGTTCTTTGTTCCAATGCCCTCACGAGAATTTGAAGGCGCACAAACCTTCACAAGATCACATGAAAAAATCATTCAAGAATAGGACAGGGCCTTTGGGACAGCTTCAGCAGCTTTTAGTTTCTTGTACTATCCTAGTATCCACAAGCAAGGGTGTACGCTGTGTAAGCCAAGCCTTTACCAATGAAAATTTGAGATGCCATCAGGATTTTTAGAAGATGACCGATCTCAAAATATTGTAACATGAGCCTCTTGAGCCTCTCTCACGGTGGAACTATGAGAACTTTCCCTTCATCTCAAGCGCACCATCCATGACATGAACACTCTTTTTGTCTCTTCTTACCTTCTGATCAGGATGGTCCTTTGGCAGCCTCTTGGAGTGTGGAAAGCGTGGGGAGGAGGCAGAGGGCCGAACTGGTGGAACCCGAACGGTGCGCACTTCTTCCTGGTGATTTGTCTTCCAGGAAGCTGCATTCCTTCGTACATGGCCCATTCATATGTGGAATGCTAGATCATCCCCAACAACACCAAGCACGACTGATGCATCCCCTTTTCAAAGCCACAGAACTCTCTGAGCTGCTGATCGAGGTCTCCCTGGAGGAGGCCGTGGGACGCTTGCGCGACGAGTTCGACCAGCTCCTGGGAGACGGTGGGTTTAGGTGGATTTGGGAGGGAGACAGCGCGACAGCTTCACAAGACTTTTCGGTTCCAAAGGCCTTTTCGGTTCCAAAGGCCTTGGTTCATCTTGCGACCACTCATGCGCGGACGGTTTTCAAGACAGCTTCAGACAGCGATCTGGCGAAGCCGGCGGATCGGAGGTTTTTTGACCGGTCGCGCGGTGAGACCTGTCGGTCCAACTCGGACTCGCAGGTCACCATGGGACCCCTTTGGAAGACGGTTTTCCTCTACAAACCCAGTGCCCTAGGTTTCCAACTAACCATTAATAGGCGGGTCATCCCGAATCAACTAAGGATTTTACACTACCAAAACCAGGTCGTTCCCATTTTTTAATTGGTCTTGGAAACCTAGGGAGTGGTTTTCAAGGTTCCATGTGGATTCGACTCCACCGCGTACCGGGCGTCGATGGTGTCGAACCCGTTAGGTTCTCTCAGAGCATTGCTGTCACCAAGAAGGAGCTTGACACCGTGGTGGCTTGGGATGGAGTTGCGGCGTCCGTCTCCCGAGCAAGTGTTGGAAAATGAGACGAAAAGCATCGAAAAGCTGTCATGAACACAACCATCCAAGAGCAAATCCCAGCTATTTTTGATGGCTATTTGTATCTATTTGTGTATACTACTGTTGGTCACTATTTTGGGCTACTAGGTGCCATCCCTCCCATGTCCTCCATCTCTTCCATGTCCTCACTCGATCCCCTCACTCGTCCGTTCGGCGTGAACCGGTCCGCTCGCTCGATCGATCCAGACCGGTCAGACTCAGCATGTGTCCACTCGCTCCTCCACCCTCTTCTCGCCACTTTCCAAACCCTGGAGACTTCTCATTCTTCGAGACCGTCTCAGTGTCGTACAAGTGGAGAACAGGGTGTCTTGAGTCTGAGTCTCTCCTTGGCTTTGAGACCTTACCTCAGCTGCACCCAAAATCACCGTCCAAAAAGAAGTCCAAGAAAGACCACCCCCCCCCCACACGTGGAACCGCCCACCGCGCCTCTCCTTCGCGACCTTCGCAGGTGGGCCGGGTCCGATCAATAGAGCTCTCCTTGCGAGCTCGACGGGGCAAGGCCGGGCACGAGGCCGAGACCCTCCGCGCCGACCTGCGCCTGGGACGGGCCAGAACGGTGGGACGGTGGGGAGGGAGGAAGCAGGAAGCAGCCCTATAAGATCTAGAAGGAAAGGTGGGTGCGAAGGGACGTGAAACGAAGGTTCCGGTCCTTCTTTTCTTGAGCTGTCTTCTCCTCTATGGTCCGAGGATGCTTGGTACGTGGAAAGCATGTTACATGATGTAATTCGGAAAAGCCAGAAGAATTGTAGTTGTTGGACTGATTGATCCAACATGTGATATAGAGGCATTTTCTGGGAAATTGGGTACTGGAGCGACTTGACGGGATTTCTTCATGTTCCTCATTCTTTCTCCATTGCATTCTTTAAACGTTGCCTAGCTGGTTGGTCCAAATAGTGGTCCTCCCTGCAAAACATCCTTTTCCTGCATGGCTTCCAAGTTTCTTTGGGCTTTGCGGGTCAATCCAACTGTCCTTTGCTGTTGAGGCTTTGAAGACGTGTGCCACTGAAACATTTTCTTCCAGACTAACCATGGAGGCTTGCAGACGTGGCCTGGAATTTTTCACCATGAACGTCGTTTTGTGCATCAGCCCACAGGTTCACTACTGCGAAAACATTTTTTTCACTTTTTGGCGCACGAAAGAAGATATGACATACGATAGTAGATATGGTATATAAGATATGATACATGAAAACATCGCATGACGTGCACTGCTGCACAACAAGAAGAGGCAAGATGTAGCATCCGGGGCCCTTATTTTATACCTCAGTCCACATCGAGCCTCACCCATGCGGGGCCTGCACCAAGGATCTCTGGGCTGTATGAGGCTCGCCGCAAGAATGCCCAACTGACGCGCTACCGGATTCAGCCACCTGGAGGCACCTATGCGCACCGGCGTGGACCGGGTACCCTTGTCGAGCCTGCTGGTCTAAGGCAAGCCTTGAACGTGAAGCTCGAGGCCGTGCCACGATTGCACGAAGACCGAGCCATCCAATGTTGCAAAACTTGTTAAAATAAATGGTTTGGCCACCAGCACAGACCATGGCACTGCAAGAAGTGCTCCCCCAAAAAGTACGGCTTTTGATCCGATTTCTGAACATCTAGAAGGAACAACTCTCAAATGGGTTCCATGGAGTACTTCGCGAAGAAGAGGAAGCCTACATGTATACCAAACAGCCAGGGTTAAAGTACCTGTGGCACTGGGGGGAAGGGGGGGCAGAACTCACGTTTTGGACATTAGTACGGTTATGAATGCTTCATGGAGATGAACTATGAACGGGCCAAAATGATCCAAATAGAAGGAATCCAGAGCTAGTGAGTGAGCTGATATATACATGTCATCCCGCTTTTCCATGAAAGCAGAATGCAAGCGGTATGTTTCCCCCCAAGGTGCATCCTGCCCGTTCTTTTGTGCAAGCATTTGCAATACGAAGATGCCCCGTTCGTGAAACGAGCCGCACGGCGCACGTGGACGCAGCCTACTCAGATATACTCGACACACATGGACCCATGGACCCACGTCGATGGCTCCCGAAAGGATTACTAAGACGACTTTCCTTGATGTAGCGGGGGGTGCCATCACTCCATGTAAATATATGTCTATTGATGTCTTACAGGTTCTGGTGCAGGGGTGCCATCCACCCATCCACGTGCTTCTTGCGGGTCCAAAAGTGGCGTTCGCGCAATTGATGTTCTTTCCGGAGATGTCCGCGTCCCTGGCGCGCACCTTTCAAACAACGAACAGAAGCAAACCCAACACCATCCAACACCCTGGCGTCTCCAACGAGAAGCCTTCCAACCCGCAGGGGGCGTCCTGAGGTGCTGGAACGAGCCAGGGAAGCCTTCCGATTCCACGCGCGCATCCAGGCGCATTGGATGGGGGGGGGGGCTGAGGCAGCGGCAGGTGAGGACAGGTGAGTTCCAAGTAGAAAAGCGTGAGGTGTTGGGACTCCAAGGGCTTCTGAAGGTGGAAGGTCCAGGTATGGCTGGACGTGACCTTCCCTCCCTTTTTGAGAATCCTGAGCTTGCAGAGTCAGAACATGTCAGAATGCCTCCACACCTTCCAAGTTGAAATCTGCCACTGCTTTGGGTCAGTCTTGGCACTTTGCGTCTTCTATTGGGGATGAGCCGAGCATGTGAAGGAACAATCTGATAACGCGGGATTCCTTGAGCAAGAACTACCAGTGTCTCGACAGAGTCAATATAGGAAATTGCCTGATTGCGCCCTGGAAGAGACCCGGAACTTGAAAACCACTGGGCTGTAGAGGACAATCATAATCTTCCTTGCAGCTCCATTGCCGTTCGCCCGGTTCCGTGGAGGTCTCGGCCTTGCCTGAGTGTATCTGTTTTGACACTTGTGGCTGGATGAAAGGCTCGAAACACCGGACCTGATACTAGTAGTAAGGCCAGGAGCTACTAGTAGCGCTCAAAGCCGGCTGCCAGGCTTTGATCACATCGGGAGACAAGCCGCTGATGGAGGTCGAAATTGCCTCCATCCTGCGGGAGATTGATCAAGCTCAGAAACATGTGCCACGGCCTGGCGACACTGCGAGAAATCGCCGTGTAGATGGCACGTTTGGACCCCCCAAGTTCGTGATTTAAGATGGACCCCGTAGAAAGACATCCCAAGGGATTGGTGCTAGCTACTCTGAAACCACTGTAGATGGAGGAGATTATGGCGATGGCAATGAGATGATCACAATGGGGACCATTAAATCGGGGTTGAAGCTGCAGGGAACCTCCGCTAGGACAGGAAACAACAACACGTGCACTCCATTGGAAGACGTGCTATGCTTGGTATTGGTCCATTCGTATCATTATGGGAGAGTGCCCGCTGCTTACGGTTCCACGCCGCACCAAAGATTGTTCCAGTCAAAAATGCGTGGTGGGCCAGGCACACTGTGTGGAGAGACCTGACCAACAGTGGCAGCCCAAAGAGCATTTTGGTCAACACTGTCACCATTTTGTTCCAAGGCAGGACAGTGGGAAACCCCTTCAACTCTTGACAACGTGGGTAAATGGAAATATATATAATATATGAATTGGCTCATGGTATGCCTAAAGCAGAGCATCGTAGAGTCGTAGAGCTGTTTCTTTGGATTCGAGTGGCACGTCCATTGGCTGATCCTTTCCCACAACTGGATTGAACTTACCAACAAACTTGCCACACTGGCATTGAGCTTGTGTTTGTTTTCTCGATTGGGCCTAGTCATCATCGACATGAGACCCCAGCACGATTCAACACCTATTAGTCTTGCATAGTAGTTCTCAGATGCGCTCGAAAGCCCTGCCAAGGCTGATGATTTGGAAGCTATCAAGGCCGCCCACAGCAAGGAGGAGCGCGCCTGCTGAAGTCTTGAGATGACGATCGAAGATGGATCATGCGCTAGAAGGACCCATCACTGCCCTTTGCAGGTGTTTCTATAAAGACAGCCGTTAAGCTACGACACTCTTTTGAGCCGCGAGCTGGCGATGTCAGGTCATGACAACCTATACATGCTAAAGTGTACATACTACCCGGAGTGAAAATACATCCCCCTCAGCTGAGACTGAGACATCTTTGATGCCAAAGCTGACAGCGATGAAGCTGGCTTTGTTTGGCGCTAGCAACCAAAAGGTGCAAACCGTGGCCCCATGGCGCACTTTAATTCGCTCCTCGCCTTCAAAAAGAGGCTTGGCTGGCATAGGAGCAATTCTCCGCCAAAGTGTAATGGTTGTCATGCATCAACAGCAAATGAATTAATGCTCGCATCATAAAAGCGATGAGACTTGGCTCACCTATGCCTAGCGCAAGCGCTCCCAGCCCCAAGCTGCCGGAGTTCCAGTCCCAAGCGCGGTGCTATCATTGGCCATGCCACTGCTGCCAATCTTCACCATGCTCTGGGGAGGGCGCCCATCACAAGAGGATGATGATGACTCGATCAACTTGCGATGCACTGGTGGCTTGCTGGTCAGCATATTCCCTCAGGGAATAGACACTGGTCCTGAAGATCACGCACCAGCGGTCGACAATGTAGTCCATGGCCTCAGGAAATGTCGACATAGGCTAGGCGCGCCAAGGAATGGTCCTCATCATAAGCAACTCGCAGAGAAACCTGGGCACTCGACCTCGGTGGGTTGCAAAGTGAACATGTGTGAGAAAGTCTTGCTTCTGGACCTCCTTTAAATCGTATCCCATTTATTTCCAGCATGCGCTCCATGAATGGGATATCATTGGTGTAGCGGTCCTCCATAGAGTGATAGCCACTCTTCTCGGCCCGACGATACCGATTGCGGCACTCCTGAACCATCGCCGCTTCAGGGCTCGTGTTTCCACGGCCACCCGGGGCTGCAACCCGCATCTCCAATCCCAGCTGCTCGTACTCGCTCACCATCGAGCTTCTGTGTCAAATGCCGACACGTGCCAAAGCCTCCCTCCTCAACTGGATTCTTTGCTTATCACTCAGGGCTGCTTCACAAGGAGTCCTCTTTAAACCAAGATGACCACAGAATGACTCTAGAAATTCCTAGATGTTTCCTTGGGTCTGAGATTGGCTTATTGACAGGTCTAAATATGCCATTGTTTGCTCAAACTTACTTTAGAAGCTGGCAGGAGATGACAGTAACACGAAGAGGAGGTGATACTTGTCAGGCCATGTCACAGGCCATCATTGCCACAGGCCATGCACCACACATTAAAAACAGCCGTTAAGCTACGACGCTCTTTTGAACCGTGAACTATGATGTCGGGTCATGACAACCTATGCTAAAGTGCACATACTACCCGGAGTGGAAATACAGTTTCATGGACCTCTGACATGATCACGCTCCCCAAGCCAAGCGCTTGGCAATCGGGCTCCCAAGATTGCCAAGACCTACTGGTTCCCAAGGTTGCCTAATGTTGCCAGCCCAGTGCCGTTTTGACTATAATTCTATACCGATTGATGGCCTGATTGATAGGCACCAACTTGGCTCCAAAGACAGATGGCTTGATTTGATAGCATAGTTTCCCAACATTTCCCAACCAATCGCCTCATCAAAATGGTGCCCTCCTAGATTTGGGCACCCGGTTCCATTGCCGAGCGTTTTCACCCCTTCCGGAGCCTTGGAAAAGAAGTCTTAGGCACCGTGAAAGAACTTGTGCTGCTTTAAGCAAGGCAAACAGCCAGGCCACCGCAAAAGCAATCCACTCAATGCAGGGTAGGTCCCCTAGGCAACAACATTCAGAGGCAGCCAGAAGGAGCAGTCTCCAGCTGATTTTCTCGCAGCAGTGCAGCATATTATGCCACAGTCATACCGCCAGGTGCAGGATGTCACTGCTCGGCTGCGAGAGTTCGAGGATAAAGTCACGCCCGAGACGGGCGCCTTTGGCGGTCGGCCACTGACAGGGGCAGAGAAGAAAGAGTATCGACAATGACCAAACAGTTGGTTCGGAGGGACCATGAGGGATGCTCAACCTAAAGCCCTTCATGATCCTTGATTGTTTCTTTTCCTTGTGTTGGGGGGAGGTTGCATCGAAGGGGGTTGGAAGTTTTGGAGGCCCATGGAGGGTAACACCCTTTTGTGTAGTTCTGGAGGAACTCATCCAAGATCATCCACGAAAAAAGATGCCTTTTTCAGGGTGCTAGATATAGCCAGTTAAAAAGATCAAACACACACACAAACACTCACCCGTTCAGCTCTTGACCCTTCGTACTCAACACAGTCCAAGAAAATGAGCCATGCAAAAAAGGATAAAAAAGGGTCCCGAGCACCCTTCCTTCCCTCCCCCAAAAGAACAAGAAAACGCACCGAGTGACGCGCCCCCAGCTGAGCCGTCCTTAGGAAAGCTGAGGGAAAAACTGATCGCCGCCCTGCGGGAGGAGGAGAAGCCGCGCCGAGCTCCGTGATCGATCGCTCGCCTCCGAGCGGAATGCGCGGACATAGGGAGGGAGGCGAAGAGGACGAGAACCCGTAGGAAGACGTAGGGCGCATCAATGAGCCTTCCCCCACACCGTTTGTCCTTCCACTTCAGTGGGGAGGGGTTAGGGAACTTTCCATCACTTCGGTGAATAGCATGGTCTTGGGGCCACCTGCTGCATGCGAATCAGCAATAACTGATCTGGTCCTGAAAACACCTCCTCATCGTATTGCTTTGGTAAAACCAACTCCAGTAAATCTGATCTTTTAAGCCACCCTGCTAGTTGTGTGTTTGACTGTGCCGCGCACAAAGATCAAATAGAACCAAGTGGCAGCTTCCCATATCTTTGTGGTTCACTGTTTTGAATGTGCAAAACTCACAACATTATCATAGGTGAAGCTCCTCGTTGAGTTAACCTTATGAAGCGGGATCCACTTTCGCTACAAAACGGGTTAACCAGGGTCACGTCATAATAAAGCGTTTATATATCGCAAAATCTGTGAGCATAAGTTGGACCAGTACCGTAGTTGATAAGCCATTTCATTAAAACATGCAGGGTGGAGGTAGATTCAGAATGTAACTACTCGGAATCAGCTGTCATCATTGTTTGCAGGGTGCAGGTCATTTTAGTAAACATGCAAAATGTGGTCAAACGAGCAAGCTCACTTTTGGATATGCTTGGCGGGACAGGTCATTTAGCAAGTCTTCGGAGTTTGGTGAAGCCATTCAAAGAGGTCGGTAAGTCACATCATAAGTACATTTGCTGTCATTGCTGGTATATCCATGTTATACCAACTATATATATATATATTCTCTGTATGAAGCGGAAAAATCGCAGTCCAATAGGTAAGGAGGATGCAATAGCCATAAATAGCCCAAATTCTATTTGGGGCATTCTCGAATCCATTTGGATGTTTGTTGCCAAGGCTTTGCCGAAGTCATGCCAGGAGTTCTGCATCGCACGGCTGGCAGTGCTGCGACAGGTGCAGGCCCAGGAGAGGAGCAAGTCCCACACGGAATGGTTTCTTTGCAGCGGTTTCAAGAAGTAGATGGCACAGACCTCAAGATGACTTCAGATGGGGTCCATATAAACAACCTTTTGGGATTGTGCCATCTCTCAATCCACTATATGTTTCTCCTCCCCCAGTTCCAGCGACCCTTTGGGAAGAGGGAGTCTGAATAGGACATGGATGGACATGCGGATGGACATGCGGCATGTGTTGATTGGGGGCTCCAACCCCCAAAAGAAGGATGTATCTGAAGGTCGGTTTTGAAACATGACTACGTGGCCACGTGGCCAGTGGTTGTCAATGGCTTTCAACTGTGGCCATTTATCAGTCCTTAAATTAGTATCCCCAATGCCGTCCACGATGCCAATGTTTCCATTGGCCCCATTGCAAAAAATGCAGCCTTTCAGGGTAGCTATAGACGCGGTTTGTGAGATTTTTTTGAAGCTGTTGGGTTCGTGAGGTACGTTCCCAAGGCGCACTGTCATACTTTTTGCAGAGCCTGCACTGACCACCAATCTGGTCAGACTCGCATCCACTTGCTGAGAACCTCGAGGTGCTGTTTCTTCGGCGCGTCCCTGTCAGGACATCAAGTTCCTGGCCAATCTTCGTGACTTGGGATGATTAAAGTGATGAAAGGACCAGGCACGGAGGTAGTTGATGACAATGTTTGGTCAGATGGGCGGGAGCAAGAGATAGATTCCAGAAGCAGCGGAAGTGGATGGATGGATATGGATGGGTTCCTTGCAGACTGTTTTCCTGGACGAACGGGGGTTTTCACGGGTCTTCCACTTCCACATGAGTGAGGCGGAGTGTCAGGGTCAGGGTAGATCAGGATAGGGTAATAGGGAGTGTTATAGGGCAGGGCGGAACTCACCATCACAGGTTGCCATAGCTGCTGCAGGTAAAGCTGGAACCCCATTGCTTTTATGTTGCCCCTTCCCCTGGAGAGCTTCCAATCTTTCACTTACTGTAATCCCATAGGTAGCACAGACAGAGCCTAGGGTTGGCTGCTGGGCAGCGCACTTTTAGCAGACCTTGTTCTGACATCTATATATATATATATATATTGGTGTGGTGATGATGGGTAAGCCTGCCTAGCTTGACCATGCTTGACCTGACGAGCCACCCCTTCTTGGCCAATCAGCGCCAAGGCCAAGCTCTGAGCTAGCTCAAAGCAGCTCAGCAGCGGCCGTTTGCCACTGGAGTTCTTTTGGCGGACACCAGCGTCTCGGGCGCAAACCGCCTGAGGTTCCCCATTTTTTTGGGACAGACCGATGGTGCGTGAGTTCACCGCTGCGGCGCGGATCCGCGCGGATTGTATCAAACCGCATCCAGCGTGGTGGTTCCGTGAAGATACGGATTGCAGTTAAGGAAGTCGCTGGAAGTGAGGAGGTGCTCTATGAAGAATGGACTGTAAACCCTGATTGTGAGGACAGCCTCCCATGAGGCATTCATGGAACCAAGCCCTGCAAGTTGATTTTGGCCGAGTCGCAGGTTGCAAGACTGTGCCCATGCAGAATGAAAGACTCGGTATGCCAGCACCCTGCAAAGGGACCGCAACCTTTAACTTGAGCAGTCATCCAAAAGGGAAGGGTGGAGCCTTTTTCATCATGTTTTTCCTGAGACCCAAGGTTGACCTTGGCCAAGACTCTGATCCAAGATGATCCTTTCGCATCCTTTCGCGATGCCGAGGGCTCCCGCCCCGCCCCGCGAAAAACGCACCTCGGAGCTCATGCAAGTATATAACTGCTTGACATGTCATACATGGCCACAGTGGGCAGCTGTGACACTATTTTGGGCCCTGGATCCGTGGGACACTGCGAACCGTGGGACCTGCCACGGCCTCACGGACGCGGCGGCGACGGACCTGGCGCGCGGTAAAGAAGCACCGACAGAAAGGAGACGAGGTGCGGCGCGGTGCGCGATGCCAAGGGATCAGAAAACGATCGTCCTCCTCGCGTCCTCAGCCGAATCAAGGTGACAGGACCGTCATCAAATGACAAGCAGGCAAGTAAAGCAGGCAAGCGAAAACAAGCTCCAAAGGCCAAACAGATAATATAACGAGCTCATATATACTCCGAAGGCTCTGGATGAACATCAACATGTTGGAACACATCGGAATACCGTGTTCTCGTTCGGGCACGCCGTGCCGGACCTGAACGAGTCGGCGCTCCAGGCTGAAGAGCTTGAACTCCAGACTCAGCAGCTGCATCAGGCGCTTTCATGCGTGGGACTCGCGTGGGAGTGGCGCGTGCGGGCGTGGCTCCTCATGGGGAAGGAAGCGCACGGATCTGACTGGACATGGAACTCCTTGCTTATGGTTTTCTACACCACCCTGCCATTGGTGAATGACATGCACAAACATGGCAAGCCGTTGACGCCGTTGACTTGCTTTGTCACTGGGTTTTGCCAACCATCCTCAAGACCTCTTGGATGCAAAAACTGTGGCTGAAATGAGGAGGCGCCCCCGCCCCCCTGAAGCTCTTGGTGCTCCATGTGAGTGTTTGGACCACTGGAGCAAGTCACTTCTGCCGTTCCAAGGAGGTTGTTCTTTCGTTCACTCCCCGATGGCAGCAGGCAGGCCGATCACAGGGACCAAGAGAGGTTTGTTGTGACCTTATTAGTCCCTACCAGCAGTCACAAGACGGGGTGCGATCGAGGTTAGGGGTGCCCAGAACATCCACTCACTTAAGGACTAAACACCATCCCTTTGTGACTCCTGGTGTAGTATTTATTAGTATAGGACCCGTCACCTGGGGTACCTATGGGGCTTCTTCAACCTTCGGAACGAAGAGTCGGGTGCATGCGCCGACGGAGCGGCGACGCAGCTCCCGGGGCCTGGAAGGCATCGCAGTTCGAAATGCCAGGAGCTGGAAAAGATTCAAGAGCACACCCACAGGCTGGAGACGTAGAGTCGCAAAGACTGCGAGTCGTTTGAACATTCAAAGGCATCGAAGAGATCGACGTGTGGGAGGGAAAGAGGCCATGGTCATGTTGCGAAGCTTTCTACCCATGTGGGGTTGACTGTTTTTTCCCGTAAACGTGTCCAGTTTACGTTTGGGGCTGGGATGTTCGACTTAGGCGAAGAATAGCCCGAAGCATGCCCTCGGAATATATATGCAACATAACATACATGTATGTTAGTCACTGTTAGTCTTCACACTGCGCTTGGCGCATACCCCGAAGCATACCCTGCGAAGCATGCATACCCCATAGTCAAACATGCCCGGGAAGGTCAAAAACACAGACCGAGTGTTGTTTTCATTGCATTTAGGAGTCGTTTCATCGCATTCAGGTCTAGGTAATGCCCAATTCCCCCTAAGCCATATCAACGTGGCAGAAGATTTGAAGGATTTGGGACCCAATATCAACAACGGTGGCCCCCATGAGAGAGGCGCATCGAGGATGAATCAGGTACTATTTAATTCAAATTATTTCAAGATATTCAAGTAAAATAACGAGTTTTTGTTGGCTTCCTTGGGCCCAGAAAAGCGGTTTCACGCAAACCTCACGGTTTGCAGAGGTCTTCAGGTGACATGTTTCCTCAGGCTCAGCCAGGAAAAGCAGAAGGTCTTGACGGATTCGGCCCAGGACAAGCCGTTTCAGGGAGTTTTCAGGGGGGGGAGGCCCAGGACGCAGAGCTCGCTGCGAGCTGCGGAATCGGGGCGGCGAGTGGACGAAAGCACGCTCGTGAGAGAGGGGAGCTGGAACTTGGAGAGAGTGGAACTGGAGGTTCCGAGTTCTGCTACTTGACTCTTGGGGGTGGCATGTTCTTCAACTGAAAGAAGTCAACATGACGATCAGAATGGACACGAAGTTGGACACGAGTCAGTGTGAGAGAGTAGCAGTAGACGGCCCCCATAGAGTTCCATGCATTGATTTAGAGTCGGGCACTCGGTAGACACCTAAACCCCCTGGAACCAGATGAAAGGGCCGTAGGGCGTGACAAACAGTCCGCAAGTTATATATTTTTGGTAATTAGATGTATCTGGTACGAACTGTGAGGCAAAGAGAATCGAAGGTCACCAGCTGTTAAAAGATATATTTAAGCACTATTTCGAAGGGCATGCGTGCAGCGTGCATGAATCCGAACAAACTCTGACTACACCCCAGCAGTCACAAAGGGCTGCCGAACTTGGAGGAAGTCGGGGTGCCCCCACTCACCTCCACTCACTGGATAGGGCTCAAAACCGCTCAACTCCATGTGACTGGTCCAAAACAACGATCTTTTAAACCCCTTTTCGAACGGTCTCCCTGGCCACTCCCGCCGATCCTGGCCACGTCCCTTTCGGACCGATCGCCTTTCTCGCCTTTCTCGTCTCGGTGAGGCTCAGAGCAACGCCGAGCAGATGCTCGCCGAAACGCGGGCCACGCGGAGTCCGTGGGGGTGGAGACGGGCCACGAGCCGCGCGGCTCGGTGTGGCGAGCTGTGGGCTCTGAAGCTGGGGCCCTGTGAGGTGGCCGGCCAGTTCCACAAAGAAGGTGTCTGTAAACGAACCAGACTCAGGCCACAAGAAATGAGCAGCCGTTTATCAATAGACGGGGGGTGAGAGGGGCGATGGTAGATTAAACTCCATCACTTCCTCTCTAGTCTGACTGGTGCTTGGTAGGGAATGCGGAAATGCATTTCAAAGAAGGGCCCACTGAAAGCCACATGAGGCTGATGATATGTCAAGCGTGTTGTTGCACCAGTGGGGAGACCAAAGGAACAGACAGCATCCCAACACCTACCCCCAAGCGACCAGGGAAGAGAGATGGTCGAGTACTGAGATTGTATCCCACCACTACCCCCAGCTTTGCTTAAGGTGATGTGTTGATTTTTCCTATGGCTAAACCACTATATAGGAGTATTTACTTTTTATAAGTATATTTTTCCAGGTTCGACCGCACATTCCAAGCTACCTTGGACCATGTTGGACCCTTCCCACCCGACCCTGACCGTGGCCAGCAAAAATGCGGCGCACCGGGCCCGCGCCATTTGCGCCGAAGCCGCGCGTGCGCGCCAGGCCAGTTACGAGACTCGTCTTTTGGAGAAGAGTCAAGCTTTAGCTCCTTGGACTCCTTGGTCGATCCGCAGTTTCAGCGTGCATGGACACCAAGGTGTGACTCGTTGCAGGTGTTTTGCAGGAGTGACCTACAAGGTACACTCTTGGTCAAAGGTTCGAGTTCTAGAATTAGAATGTTCTAGAATCTAGGTTCACGGTTTTTGTTGAGCTGTTGGGCTTCGAGCATGCTGTTCGGAGGAACCTTTGTCTTCACCTAAGAGCACGGCGGAGGGACAAAACATGACGCGCGAACATATTAAACATGAACACCTCCGATTCACCAAGAATCTCCTCACCATCCGAACACCCCGAACCGATTCATGAGCTCCACTGCTCCCAGCGCCTCCCCACCCCCGCCACATGAGAGTCCATGTCGCCAACCACCCGCTTCAGAGCTTCTGAAAGCGCCCCCCTTTGGGGGCAGAACTGCGAGATGGACCACTACGAAACGAGTGCCAGCGCAGCAGTGGGACGGTCTCCAGGCTTGGAGGACCGGTCATGGGACTGGTCCCGTGCGGGGACTCCCCGGTCGCGCTGAGGCTGAGATGGAGGAAGCCTATCGAAAGGTTCCACCCGCCACAGGGGCACCTGGGACCGCGGCAGGAATCAATGGCAGGCAGGCATAAGGAAGGCGGGACATTTCATCCTCGAATCCGGGCCCCAAGATGCAATCAGACCCAGGTGAGGGTGGGGATTCCTGAACAGATTGAGTGAGACGAAGTGAATCTTCGCATGTTCGTGCAGCAAGCAAGACATAACAAACTCTAACAGTCGAATATTTCATGAAATTTTAAGGATGTTTCGTCATGTTTCTTCCCAATCAACCCGGTAATGGAAACTGGGTCGCACGACCCACCTCCTTAAATCAGGGTATTCTCTGAATCCAAATAATCCGATTGCGGCAAGACCTGACGACGGGACATCAAGTCGGATATGGAGTGAATTCTCATGACACTGAAAGCACTCCCGTCCCACATACAGAGCTGTATCCTTCCCCCGCTTCACGCAAGCACGCGACGCCATGAAGACTTGGTACGTAGCTGAAGCGAGCCAGGGTCGGAGGTATCCAGCGCTTCCCCATGAAGACGGGGGGCTATTTCACTAAGGGAGTTCCCTGACTCCGACAGCTTTAGGTATAGAGATGTATAGAGGTCGTCCCTGATCCAGTTTCCTCATGTTTCCTCCAGAAGATTTCAAGATTTTCTGCATATGGGACGTGGCCAACAACTCATGACCGCTGTTGCTTCTTGAAATGTTTGGCTTCTTATGTCACCATGATGTGCTTTCTACACTCTGACTCACATTCCATGGAAGTGGATGGCATGGTCCCGAAATGAAGGCAACTTTCCTTTACGAACAGGGGATGCCATCCACGTAACCATGTCTTGGTCGGAGTGTAGTTGCTTGAGGATGACGATGGCTTGACTTCTGTTCGATCGCATTCCGGACCTAGCTGCCCCTGAGCTCTTCACGCACCCAAGGATTAAACATTTGAGAAGCAAAGGTCGACTGTCACTAAGGGCGCACATAGCTACGGGTGCAATGAGTTGAGTACACTCTGAGTCTTGGCTGCTCCAATCTTCATGTCGTGAGAAGAACTTCGCCACCAAGGGATGTGACCCGTTACTCTCTGGGAATCGAAGTGGAGCATGGCACCCTTTAGAAAGAGCCATTTCCTTTGGGATTGTCCACTTCTGTGGTTTGGTTGGTGGAGGGAGGCTGGACAACATTTGAGCACAAATCAACCAATTTTAGCTGCATAAATAAGCATTTGAGCACTAAGAGAAGCTCGTCAGCCATGAGCTTGTCTTCGGGCCAATCCGCGTGCACACAGCGCGAGTGAACTATGGGAGAAGAATTGCCAGAGGAACCAGCGGAACCAGGCCGCCATAGACCCGATCGGCTTCCTGGCCCACCATTGACTGACTTAAAAGGCTGAATCCCGAATCAACGAAGGATTTTACACTATGCCAGGTCAACCATTTTTCATGGTCTTGGAAGTCTAGGGTAGACCGTGAGTCCATGGACATTGTAAGACTCTCCTCCTCTACCTCCTCCTCTTCCGGGGGGTTCCGGAACCCAGGAACAGACTTCTACAACTCTCAGGGGTCGAAATACCAATATGACATGTGATGGATGATTGTTGGTGGAGTTGATGCCAAAAAATGGGACATTTGGTGAATCAGTTGGCCCACCCAGGTTGAAATGAACTAATTTGCTGGGTCTTATGTTTTTTGATCAATCAGTAGCAATATCAAGCATTCAGAAGCTGTCATGAGGGAGAATTTGATGTTGTGGGAAGTTCCTGGTCCACCTTAGATGTTCTTTTTCAATCAACTCAGGAATACTCGCCCTCCATATTCTCCAGTCCCCTAAGCAAAGTCTTTGCAGAATCTCTATGCAACCTTTCAAACATAAAGAGCCTTATCAACTGACAGGATTGACTCCGAAAAGGACCCAAGATTGATATTCAAAAAAAGGGATGACGGGGGTGGGCGAACATCTCCCTGGCCCACGGGGTCGAAGTAGTCTTACTAGCCTGGGGAGACCCCCATATCTTCGCTGCACACGGCGTGGGCTGGCGTGCGACCATGAATCACATGGATGTGGAATGATGTCGAAATAGATGGATGCCTTTGGATGCCTTTGCTACCACAAGAGGCCTATTGGATGTGTCTTTGGACATTCACTGAATGATAAGCCCATGTGCGTGATCCCTTATTCGTTGGGATGTCGATGCGGATGAGTAGTTCACTGTCGAAGCCGTGACAATCTCCCAATGTTCCATTGGCTTACTTCCAGGGAGTGTAAAAAAGACACATCAACTGTTCAAAGGTTGCATGAAGTCAGTCTTTGGTGGTCTGATGTAAGACACCCTCATACGAATGAGGCGTGCATAGCTACAAAACGGAAGGGATCTCTCTTGGCCGATGATGTTTTGCTGCAAACTCGGCAGAATTGCAGGTGTCCAGCAGGGAATTGATAGAATTTCTGTAGCAGGGCAATGACCGCCGACTTGTTGCATACTTTAGGTTTGCAACCATTTTTGATGGAGGTGGAACACCTTGGAACACCATTTTCCTTTACAAACGGGGGGTTTTCCACTTCCATGTTAGCTCCAGGGAGAGCATTTTTTTTGGTAAGCAGGCCTCCGAGTGGAAGATGCACCGCTCCAGCTTTCTCCGGTTTATCCCACATTTTTGGGGATGGGGGTGGTTTTGAAGCTACTTTGGATGGCTTTGGCGTCCACATGGCTAATGTTTTTCGTCGTTGGTGGTGGGTTGGCCAGTTTTCGAGCTATAGATTCGGATCCGGACCATCACTCAAGATCAAGATCATTCACCCCACCGGTAGGCTGCGACAGCTGGCAGGTGGTCACCCTGAGCAGCATGCGCTCCCATTGCCTGCCTGTTTTGGCGATGTGCGATGGAGGAACGACCAAGTGGCGCCAGTCGAGTGGGGCAGCTTGGCTGAAAGTGGGGAGAAAGTATGGAAGGAGATGGAAGGTAGATATACAGACCCCCCCCCTCGGAACTCCTGGAGAACCAATGCCAAAGAAAATTGTTGGCCAAGTGCCTTATATACATACATCATGCAGGAATTGAGCCCCAGATTCTGGGTCTATGCCTCAGCGATGGGGTACTCTCAAAACCTGCAAAGACATGCATAGACATGGAAACACACAATTTGGAAGATTTTTGAAGAAGATTGTACTTTTTAGGCCTTTCAGGCTCGCATGCTTGCTCTATGCTCGGATGTTGCACAAGCATGGATGGCATGCATGCTCGCGATGCTTTTTTTGCAGGCAGGTTCTAGTTTTTGTCGTTCCTTCTACACAGGTTAACGCCATACACACTCTGACTCACCAACATGGAAGTGGAACATTGCCCCTTACTCTGACCACTTTCCGTTCCGTGTTCCCCACTTCTCCCACTTCCATGCGATGTCTTCGTTGGAGTGAGTTCAGGCATGTCGCTGCAGCAGTTCAACGACTTTGTTGCAGCTTGCCGAGCGACCGACTACTGGCCTGTGGCTGCACAGAAGGGCCACGTGAACCTCTACGAAGTGGCTGCTTGGGCCACGCCACCGGAAGCGGCCAAGCGTCCCAGTAAAATGACCATTGTCCTTGACAACCTCAGGTGGTGTTCCACTTCGATGATTCCAAGGAGTGTAGCCAAGTTGTTTGGCGAGTGCATGAGCCTTTATCCTTTCTTGTTTTTGGTTGGGCAGTGGCTGACAAAGGGGCGATGAACGAAAACAAGATTGGACACTGGATTGGAAAGCAGGTCTTTGGCACTGGGCCGGGACTAACACCCCCCAAGCACTAGTAGGTGAACATGGAAGAGCAGACGGGGATCCGACCGAAGCAACTTCTACAAGACGTTGATGTGCCACGTGTCGCTTTTATGCAGTGCACAACAGCGCATCATTGAGACATAATACAATAGATATAACCAGCATGAACCGGCAATATGTACCAAAGGGTCGTTTGTGTACATAGCTTCGCGGCCCAAAAAGAGCTAGAAACCTTCAACACAGGTTCGGACATCCGATAAGTCTAGTCCTCGTCCAGGACTAGATGGACTAGATGTCTATAGTCTTCAGAAAGGAGTTTTTTTCCCTCCCGCAGGACTAGGTCAAGGCTTCACACAAAATAATCAACATGCCATGATCATTATGATCATGGTCGTGGTTGAGTGGCAATTGACGCAAGTCTTGCTGTCTTGCGACAATAGTGTCCGAGTAGATGTCAGCTGTCACAAGCACCCAAATGAACATTTACTGTCGATGATGTTTGTTGGCTCAACGACTGTCTTGCGTTTTCCGGCCAATTTTTGTACCTGTTCCGGAAAATAGCGTCCGGTGACGCATGGCTGTCTTGACGTCCCAAGAGGTTCAGCGCGATGACCCGATCCACTCGCCGAGGTCGAGTTCTTTGTGAAGCCCTGGACGCGGCGGACGGGTTGCAGCGTTGCGCTGCGCATGAACTCGGCGCCAGCCAGAGCGGAGCCATGGAGCGGAGGGTCAAACGCAGTCGGTGGGCTTGGGATGTGGAAGTGAGTGGACTCCATAAAACCATATAAGAACCCCTCTTCTGAAGAAGAGATGTTGTTCAATCCAAATGGGGGGGCGTAGATGCGAGCAGACATCGCAAGTGCGTGCATCCAAATGGGGGGGTTATGAATCAAGATCCTACATTGATCATGGACAATACCTTCTGATGAACACATCACGTGGAAGTGCATTTTGCACCTGGGTTGATAGAGGAAAATCGTTTTCCTATTGGGCCATTTTCCATGTCCATGCTAGTGAGTCAGAGTGTATCAGAGTGTAACTATAATATCTCTACACCAGGAGTCACAAAGGGATAGTGTTTAGTCCTTAAGTGAGTGGATAATGGGCACCCCTAACCTCCATTAAGCACCCCTTTGTGACTGCTGGTACATTGTACATCGTATTTTGTCAGAAATGATGTCATGGGTGTGAAGATTGGTGCCGTAAGTGGACGAGACGAGATAGTGACACTGTCGGACAGCAAGAAGGAGGTACTTGCTGCTTTTAGGGTGGGAGACTTTGATTCACCTCTCGGTTGGATCTGGTGTACCAACTGTGCCGGGCGGTTCTTTCGTGAGCTTCGGGTCCCAGAATGAGGGAGTTTCACACGCGGTGTTCATTTGGAGACCTGGTCCAGGTAGCTTTTGGGGCCTTCTTACTTAAACACACACCCCATAGAACATTAAGTGGTGATTGAAGTCTACCCTGAGCAGGATTCTGTTCTGCCGGATGGGTAAGAAACTGTTTGGCTTCCTCTTGGCAATGTATGATGAACCATTCATGAACATCCATATGGTTCAATTATGTTCAATTTGTTAAGTTACCCTGAAAAGCTAGGAACCAAAGCATTAGCGTGAGCTATCTTGCGTCCAGTACTGTAGCTGCTAGATAACTTAAGCTACTAACTAGCTACCGCTTTCCTCTTAGCGACCTACCACCCCTCCAGGACTTTTCTGCTACTCCCTTCGAAACCTTTGGAACATTTTGGGACCCTTGGTTTTTTTGTATCACGAAAAAACAGCGCCGTGACTTCCGCGCGTCACCGCGCCGCGCGTAACCTCGACGTGGCTCAGGAACTCATGGTCTCCCATTCCTGGCAGGAGTGCATGGATCAGCGCGAACCTGAGATCCCAGAATGGGTTGAACGGAAAATCTATAGGAAAGCCATAGTTTTGGGGGTGAAACCATGGGTTTCCTGCAGATGTTCCCTGAAAAAAAACCATTCATTCGATTGAACCAAAGACCAAATGACGGGGTTTTACGGTCCGTGGAAGATGACCCAAGATTGGGTGAGACTTTGGGGGCTGGACTTTGAGACTTTTGAGGTCTATCTCACCCCAGGCTTCGGGAGCTTCACGATAGCTGTTGGTTTGGAGGGAGCGACGGCTTGGGTTGCCGGAGGTGTCCAAGGTTCGCGCGTTGAATGAACGGGGAGCTGATCGGAGTTTTGCAGTGGAAAGGGAAGCATGGGCTCCTCACTCGAGGTAACTGTTTTGGAGGGATCTAGAGGGAGTTTCCTAACCCACTAGCTGATGTCCGATAATGGCAATGCCAGTGGCGCTGAGGTGCTCTGAAGCCCTTGGCAAATTCTGTGCTCGACGCTGGATGGACATGAGGGAACTGGGGGTGAGGTGTGGCTGACAGGCTGACAACCATTTCCCCAAACAGGGAAGTCATAGGGCATGCTAGTGAGCATGCAATATACAGGTACTACACACCATCCGGTGTTTGAGACCCACATGGAATCGGGTCACATGGACCTGTAAGGAAGACGGAAGACGGATGCTTCCTCCACAAACCGGTTCCGAGATGTTTCGAGGTTCCATGGTCATCTTCCAGGACGTAAGATATACTTGATTATGACTTGTATTCTTATACTAGTGGCATCCTGTTCACTAGTCATACACCTGCAAGCACTTAAAGCCTGGCCATGTGGCAACGGCACATGGGTCACTTTCGGTCGACGACCCCTCCTTTACCGATTTGGAGTCTTGAATCGTTGGCCATCTGAGGCCATAAGCAGATTGCTTCGTCCTTGGCAGTGGCCTTGTGGTTCTGCGCCTTTGCACAGTATCCCGGTTTTGCTTCAGGTGTTGGATTTTCCCTGTGACGGTTCCATCCCGTTCCTAGACAGCATGGCATAGCATGGCGCCAAGGTATCAGCCTGGAAGCGAGCCAGGGGATCGAGGTGGGGGGATGGACGGGTCGGGGGCTCACCCCTTGAGATGTACGATGATTTCAGGGGGTTACTGGGTCCAGGCCAGGACCTAGCATGCTATGCAACAAGTTCAAGCTCACATTCTCGAACGCCAACTACGTTTGGCCCAGTTTAGTGGGAGGTTGGTTCTACAAGGGGCGGGATTGTTCTCAAACAGGACCCAGTGCTTGGCCACATGCTCAAGAATGACTTGGGGCAGCCAAGCCCTCAGTGTTCTAGCCTCCCTTGTTTTGTGTTTTGTGTTGGCACCATCTTCTCCTCACAAGTTATCACATTGGACATGTAGACAAGAATACCCCTTGGTAATATGCGCCACATCCCTATGACTTCATGGACCTGGACGGGCTTGGTTTTTCTTTGGGAGCCGCTGACCCCGTGCGCCGGCAGACGAGCATGCCCGTCACCCGCTTCACTTCCTACCCCTTCTCCAAGTTTGCCCAGAAGTGAAGCACAAACTCGCGCAAACAACACAAAAGACCAAACGAAAGACCACACAACTCACCCCTGAAGTGTTACATGGTGTTACCACCCGAGTGGGCGCGCGCCTTCCGGGGGGTTTCACACCCGGGTCCGAACCGTCTCGTCGCGCGTGTCTCGTCCAGGCCCGACGGTCGCTGAGCAGTTGGCCTTGGATCCGTTCGGCTCGGTGATCCGTAGCCTACGCGACGGCCTGGGCACCGCGGCGTGAAGCGCGGGCAAGGGGGGGGGGGGGGGAGGGGGGGGGGTGTTTGGGTGGACCGAAAAGGAGAAGGGACGACCTAGAGGAGGTGAAGCTATATGCTCCCTGGTTGCAGAATCCAATGGCCATGACCCACAGCCATCATATGGGGTGATGGTATGTGAGCTCGTTGGTTTCTCGTTGAAAGAAGTGGTTCGCACCATATGGCGCCGGCGCCTTGGTCCACTTCCATGTGACGGGGTCGTGCTCGCGGGTCGGCTGGGTGGAACCCCCGATGCCATCCGGGTCGGGCTCCTGAAGGGGTCAGTTGGGCCGGCGCCTGGAACAGCGAAGAAGAACTGTCAATTGGGATTTTGCCCGTGAACGACTCCTGGTACGGATGGGCCATTGGATTGGTTGCAGAAAAGCCAAGATTGCCATGGTTTTCCCCCACGTTCACGTTCAATTCATGGTAGTTATATGTTATCATGCATGTGTCCAGAAAGTATATTATATTAGTTTGGTCTGTGAGATATGAAATTATGGTAACAATATATGATATGATTTGCGATGATAAAACTTTGCGATGGTAAAACAAGATTGCGATGGTTTGTTTGTAGGGGGTGATTGATTTGTACTTCTGTAGCTGCCCTGACTTGATTCGAACAGCTTTTGATCTTGAGCTACAGCAGCTCCATGTTCTGAAACTTGCATGGCATCATTTCGGATGCTTGAGCTTGCAGCCTATGCCTTCCACACGAACACTCCAGGACAAAAACATGCACTCCAAATCGACGTTAAGAGCACCGAATGCGTCTTTTTCTGCTTTCAAAAGACCCGAGAACAGCACCTTGCCCAGGCATGGTGGTGGTTCAAACCTCCATGGGCGATGTCTACTCCAGACTCTGGTGTGTCTATGAGATTTCGGAAGCGGTCAGCTCTCAGGCCCGGACCCGGGCAGATGCGCCAAGACGACTTTTGGAGTCTGGTGGATGGAGAGAGGTTGAACAGCCCCTGTTTCGCCCATCCCATATGTACCACAGACCAGGGTCTGAACGTGAAGCGGTCTCTCAATCTCTCTTGGGATGGAGAGTGAGAGTGCACAAACGTCCAAAGGATGAAAAGAGGACCTCCGTCCTCGGAGGAGGGAGAAAAAGCGACCCCCCAACTCCGTGCAAATGGGATTCTTCACCGTGTGTCACGCAATACTTCACACAGTCTTCACTGGAGGAGCTGTTCTGTCCCAGTGGGGCACAAAGCTAGCAAAAACTCCGCAAAATAGGACGAAGCAATGTCCATGTCCACCAGGCTGCCAGTGGGTTCCGCCTGGCGTTTCTTGCAGGATAGGATGTAGTAGGCTTTCATGTGAGGGCGATGGGTGGCGTGACCCCGGCCGTGTTCCAAAGCTGCTACCATGGTCCGATGGACGTGAATAGTTTTGGGGAAGGCCTCCACGCACACGGCGACATATCTAACGTGTGTATACAGTGTATACCCTGGAAGTCAAGGACAATAAAAACCAAAATAAACGTTGACCTGACTTTGTAGTGTAAAACCCTTCAGACCATTATATGAATACATGGTGGTTCGACTTCTAGGGTAACAAGTATATAGATTCGTAGTTGAAGACCCACTTGATTTTGGGTCATCGCGCTGCCGTGCTTGTGCCGCCTTTTGCAGTGGGCCAGCTCGTGGGCTCGCGGTGAAACCACCGAAGCAAGTTGATGCTGAGATGGCCATGGCGTCTCCTGACTGGCTTGGCATTCTTGCTCTTGCCTGAGGCTGGCTGAAGCGCACACAAAGCTGTTGCCAGTCCAAACCTAGAGCATTCCGAAACTCAGGCGTGTGGACCGATAGCTGCAGCCATATGAACTGTTCAGCATTACCATGCACACTGAGAAGACAAACAAACATGATGTCTGATGTTCTCACATATGTTGCCCTATCTATGATGCAGCTGTCGATGGATCAAGACCTTGCAGATGACACTTCTATAGTCCCAACCTGTCCCGCCGAGGCCTTCCTGCCGCCAAGGCCTTCCTGCCGCCGGCCCCGCCGTGGCGCCCCAACCGCGCGACGCAGCGCGACGGAGCAGCCGCGCGACGACGAGAGTGGGCGAAACCCGCTGAAGGAGCCGAGAGTGGGCGAAGCGAAGTGAACAGGAAGACCGGACATGGCGATATTCCTAGTACCTGGGGGTCCCTATATACTGGAATCTTGAACTAAGGCACCCGACCGGACTGGGAGCGGTGGATTGGATTGACGTCGACTTCGAAGACGGAGTCGGACCAGATTTGGCCGAACTTTCTGAGATTCTGGTGGAGACGTGGGGATGATGCGTTGATCGTTTCGGGTTCCAAACGGCTGGGCCAAACCAATGGACCGCGTGGATCGTTTCTCGGCTACCCTGGGACCATCTGGGACCCGGCTCCATCCCGAAGCAAAGAGCAGGTGAAGCGATCACTCAGACACAGTCGCACGCGACCCGGTCGCATGTTTCATATCTTTCACCTGGTTTCAGAATGTGCCATGATTTGCTCCCCGCAGCCAGGAGAGTTGGGAAGGCTTCAATGCAACCTACAGCAGCTCGTTCAGACTATGGCACAGGAGAAAAACAACGCGAGCCTTTGTAGCCTCGCGAAGCAACTGGTCACCAGTTGCACCCCTGCTGTCGCACCCCTGACCGTCGAAGCCTTGCTTTGTGGCTCTCCGGCTCGGTGCGCCGCACGTGTCGTGTTGACCGACGAGTATCACGCACTCTCACATCATCTCACGCTCTACAAACGACGAGAACAAACGCAAGTCATCTCATGAGCTCTGAGCTCTGAGGCCTCATCCGTTCGTCGCGAACATGGCTCCGTTCGTAAGGCCAGTTTCGCCCCGTTCGTAGCGTCCGATCGCTCCGTTCGAGTCGCGATGCCCTTGGCTCCGTTCGTAGCGAATATTGCTCCTAGTCAGGTAAACTATGGACGGGTGAACAGCCGAGCGCAGAGGACGTGCAGAGGGCTTCTTGGACTGACAAGGGCTTCAGTGGACACGCCCTTCAGGGCCCCTGGGCCATGTCAGTGAAACTCATGCACCACTCCACACAGGCATACAAAAGGCCTCAGGCCTCAGGTCTCAACGGGGTTTGACTTCCCGCAGGTCTGAGAAGTGGAGGATCAGAACTTGAGAAGGGCTTGAAGAGCTTCAAGTGTTTTCAGGTAGCTTTACTACTGGGTGGTGGTTATACAAAAACACACAGTCACACACACACACACACATATATATATATATACACACTATATGTATGCAATTTCAACCTGTACTTGACTCACATTTTTTCGCCATGATGTTCTGCTCCAATCATCCTTCCTGCGAATCCACGACGCGTGTGGTTTTTGGTTGGGTTCCTTCTTTGCCCCTGAAACCCAGACCATCCATGGGACTGGAATCTATGCCCACATGGACCCGCCAAACCTACCCCCCGATGTATAGGTAAATAATAGGTAAATATGCCAAGGTCCCATGGGACCACATTGGATGGTTTTGGGCGTCACGTCTCATCGACCGCGCCACCGAAACCGGCCGCGCCGTGCCGTGCCTTCGTCGGGCGACGTCGCCTTCGGAGGATTTGGACGTCACGTTCGCCCTGTCATTGGCCACGGGCACCTTCGACTCCTATGTGAAGGCGACGCCACGTCTCGGGACGGTCGGACCGGTGGAAGGAGGTTGAAGAGGTGGGTGTGGCACAAAGGAATTTGGAGATGCTGATCCTTTGGATGGTGAACTATACCCGGACACTCAATGTATGCAATATATGCCTACATTGACCCCCAAAAACATTGAGTGTCTGGGATAGGTTCACTTCATGACCCAACTTGTCGTAATTACATGGCGGCACTGATTTTGGCCGAGAAGATGGACACATGTCTTCTAGCAGGCCTAATGGCCTAATTGTGTATTTTTTTCATCACTTGTATGCTCATTCATACTCTTTGGAGTTCCCGCAGCCGGCTGGGCCACCCAGCAAAACTCAACGATCCACTTTCACAGGCGGCTCCAGCAGCACAGCCACCGGACTGCGTGTCCTACAATACCCAGGGCGCTTGCTGCCCATCTTTAGCTTGTTACAAAGAGTCTCGGCAGGGGGCGATTCTGCGGCTGGGGTCGGAGGGTCAGAGCCCAGTGCTTGGTGCCTGCCCCCTACAACCAGCACCAGTTGCCATATTTCATCGTATTGCATCATATACGCCTCTTTCAGTGGGGGGGTCACTTGGGCAACATGTTTGTGGCAACGTGCACTCAAGCTCACCAGCTGCTGCGTTCATGACTCAGCATATTTCAAGCTCGCAGTCGCTCGCGACCTATCCTGGATTCCACGATCTCTTTCGATGGATCCAATGTTACTTCGGCGCTGTGCTTTCCTTCGAACGGCGAGACCGGCGCTGGGCCGCCGAACCGGCAGAATCAGGTTCAGATGTGAGAAGAAAGGTCCGGCCCCGTTTCGACCCCCTGGTGGTGAACCTGGGGGTGCGTCCTGGACCACGGTTTGGCTGTGTGGGACTGGCAGAGGTGAACTGGGTTCTTCCAACCTTGAAACCCAGTCCCAACCAGACACGAATGGGTTCCGAAATTCCAGCCACTTCCTTATGTGTCCAAGATCTCCAGCTGGCATCTTGGGTTCCAAGCGGCCCCTGTGGTTGAGGCCGGGTTTCCAGTGTGTTGGGTGACCAGAGCCCCTGGAGCCGAAGCCAAGGACTTGCCTCTGGGCGTGAAGATCTACGTGACCATTCTACTGCTGCTAGCGATGCGCGGTGGAGTCCGGATGATCACTGAAGCTCGTTCTCAAGCAGTTCGAGAGTAGGGCCGCTCGCAGAAACCGATGTCGTAGGGCCATGGGTCTAGAGTTGGATTGGGGCAGACATGGGCAGAGCATTTACTTTGAAAGGTGTTGTTTACATCTGGTTGGTATTCCTGAAGCATACGACTGAAGCAGCTGTGCCCTCTATCATCCCTCATGTCATGGGTGCAGCCATAGGCACGGTGCTTTTGATTTGTAAAGAACATTAAAGACATACATAACATATCATAAAATACTTCGTTAATGAATGATATGAATGGATCAAAATCTCCCGGCCTTCGAAACTGTTCATCATTTGGGCCCTTGACCCTGGCTGCGTCCACGTTCCTCCTGGAATTCACATCGAAGTGTTCACCTCGCTGAGGGCGAATTCGATATAGAGATAGAACGAGTCCTGCAAAGTCCGCATTGTCTATACGCCTCTGGTAGATAAGGAACCGAGGAACCCAGGCTTATACTCACAAGGCACTTGGACTGGGCTTGGAACGTCTTTTCCTCGAGGATGGCTGCCTTTGCCATAAGATTCTGATATGGGAGCCATGTTCAATTCAACACCGCCTCAGAACACAGCCTGTCTGCAGGAAAACCCCAGCTTGAGCTATGCCAATGCCGGAAAGTGCCTCTTGATCTTTGCGGTGGCGGCCCAGGTCCTCATTACTTTGTACAGTTAGATTATATGTTAGATGTCTCACCAACTGAACCGTTCAACGAACTTCCCATCCCTTCCCCATCAAGGATTGTTCCTTCTTGGCTTGGATTCTTGGTTACAAGTTTAGAAGTTTGCTAGGTTGCTGAAGTTGTTGAATAAGTTGCTGGAGTTGTTCATGGTCCAATTGTAGAGGTGCCCACGAGGTCACGGGGTGAAGCTGATCACGTGCCACGACACGATGGACCTTTTCTGAGACCGTTTTGCTGGAAGCTCGTGGGCACGAGGTAGAAATGGATAAAGGATCATACCACATGATGCTACCACTCCAAGTGATTTCGAGCGGCGAGCTGATCCGGAGCGCGGCGGCAAGCCCCGCTCTAGTTCATCCGCGTTCCAAAACGTGACCGTGCTGGTGGCGGATGGTGCCTTGAGGTGAGGGTGAGACCACTTTCCTCACACCCAGACACTCCAGGACTGGAATATGTGCCACCCCCTTGACGGGCAAGTCAACCACCCCAATGTATGCATAGGCATCAAATCACACAGACACTCCCAAGTTCTCTTTTCTCGCGCGCGTGCAGGTGGTAACCCAACTTTCCTAGAGCTTTTCAACTTGGTCCCTCTTGTTTGCCACCATTCCAGCTGTGGCATCACAGAGGACCAAAGACTTCCACAAACAGAGGGTGTGGTGGAACATCATGATGTGGGACTTCACTTAGAACACCCATTGGATCCCAGTTACCACTATATAAGGAACCAGGGGTTCTGGGTCTATGGGTTTAGTCTTTGGAACCACTGGTTACCAGCAACATCGTGGTTTAACCGGATGCCCTGGGACATGTGAAGAACCCACCGAAGAAAGACCACCGCCCGCCCAGACCGTGGATCCGAAAAAGACATGGGCCAGGCGAAGGTGTCGATGGCATACAGTCATCGCGCCTTAGAGAGGAGGGCTGGAAGCTTTGAAGACATGTTGCGCACCAGGCCAGTTCCGGTCTGGATTGTTTGATATGTTTATATAATCATATATAATCTTTTGGGATCCTTGGGTGTGTTTGTCCTTTTTTCTACGGTGTGCGGGGAGTGTTCGCAATATCATATGCACTTTGTGGTGCTCTTCATGGTGTTTCAGTACGGATTTGGCTCAACGCCGTGTGTGTTGGGGGCGAACATCGCCAGTCATGGACCGTTTATTGTTGCAGGACTTCAGGAGCCACGTGCAGCAGCGTATTGGATGAAGAGATGATACGGAAGAAAGTGGAGCAGAGCCTCGGGTCCTCTTCGCCGAGATGAATTGAGTGGAGAGAATTGAAGTGCAGAGAGTTGAGTCATGTTCCTACGCCATGTCATTCAGTCATTCAAAGATAATTCAGATCGAGATGGCTGGCTGTTTTCACCTTTTTCCATCTCTTTTTCGCAAATTGCGGCAAAGGCTGAAGGTCTGTGACACCAGGTGGGGAGATGGTAGAAAGGTCCACCCTTTGGTCCAAGAATCCATTGGACTATTTCGCTGCATGGACCCTTCAACTCCTTAAAAGCATCTTTTCAGACCACCCGAACTGAACACCCCAACTGAACTCCATAGATGGTTTGGTTTGTGGTGGTGTCCCCAAGTCGAATCATTGGGGCGTCGGATGTTCTAACCGACTCAGAACAGCGGCCATTCAGAACAGCTGCGTGTCCTTCCAGCTGGCAGCTGGAAGCCTCAAATCAAGGACGGGCGGCTTCAAGCAGCTGGATTCCATAATCTTCAACTTTCGCCTCCTGGCATTTCAGGAGACACTTGGTGCCACAATGTAGCTGCTCGCCCGATGCAAAGCACTGATGCTGTCCTCCGCGCATGTTCAAGCTTCAAACTTTGGGGCCTTAAGATGTTTGGGCCACCGGTGCCCAGGATCTCTGCGTTGTGATCTTTGCGTTGCCTTCTCTGATGGGCTGCACATTGGTTGTATGTTAAACGGTCCACACCCGGTCCGCTCATTCCCGGTCCACTACTGCAGGGAAGGAGTAGTGGCCCTGTCCGCCTGTCCGTGTTTGGGGATTGAACCCTATAGACTCTAGACCACACCGGCCGGTTTGAGGGCTGCACATTCGTGTGGATTCATGCGTTGGAGAAGGTGTTCTGCTTTCCACGCTGCACGGAATGGGGGTCCATCACACACCTTCGCCCAGGATGATGAACGAGCTGAATGAGTTCACTCGAGTGCCGTGCCTTTTAAAACCTAAGACCGCCAGGGGTGAGCTGGGCATCACCACATGGTGAACCATAATAGATGGTCTTCTTTGAGAAAGGCCGATGTTTTAGCCACCTATTAAAACATATCAATGGTGATTGAATTGAAACGAGTGAATCTCTGGTGGCAGGGTAATGACATCAGGCCCCCCAGCTCTGGAGTCTCTTGGGGCCTGTAGCTGTAGCTTGGACCCCTTCGCTGGAGGACCAGGAGTTCCGCAGCCCTAAGGATCAGCTGCATCAGGAGATTCAGATCATCACGGAGAAAATGATGGGTGCCAGCATCTTGGTCTCTATTTGTTTGCAGGGTGCCAACAATCAATGTCTAATCTAGCTGGTGCGATTCGGATGATTCTTTTTTCAGGGTCGGACTGGGGGGTATCCAGTTCTTCCGTGTGAGTTCCAGGGAGCCTCGCGCGGAGATCAGCGCTCAGCGACCTCAAGGGAGTTCCACAAAAAGAAACTAATAGTATCTAATAGTAGTAATGATCTGATATGATCAGATGGTGTTTTTTCATGTTCATCATGTTTTTTCATCTCCACTGGTCTTTGGGTCCGAGAGGGCCTCGGCTTAAGAGATGGGGTTTGGGTGTTTTCGTGGGAATTGCTGGGAGATTGACCAATGCCGCGAGGAACCTTGGGCGCCCAGGACTCAGGTTGGACAGATGTTGGAAGTGAATGCCCTGTTGAATTCCGCGGATGTCCATACCATATACAGTCGTAGATAGACCTCAGTAATCTTTAAATTAAAATCAACCCCCATTCCAGGTCAACATGCTGGATGTTTGAATGATCCGCTAGCACACCATAACTCAGCCCGGCATGAGGCAAAAATTCAGGGCAAAAACGGTTCCGGAAACGGTGATGTGAATGCGGTGTCCAGCCCCAAACCACCTGAAATCTATGTGTTTGGGAAGCAGCATATCGTATCTTAAAGGGAGGTGGGAGATCCTTGAGTCATGCGAAAGCTTTTGGGGCTGAGAGGGCCTGTTTTGCTGCATGCTATAAGGGGCCATAAGGGGCCTCTGCAGCTTTGCGCCAATTGACCCACACAAGGACCCACACAAGAGCTGGTGGCCATCGCGGATTGCCAGCTGGAAAAGGCATCAGAGGTGCGGTTTTGTGGCAACTCGCGCGTAAATGTGCAAAAGGTACCCCTCCAGAGGTGCGTGCTATATAAAGCATGTCTTTTTTTTCACGTTCCGATCCACGCCCCCCAACTGAAGGCTCTCGCAGGTGTGACTCGCAGGTATGACGCTAGCTTTCGGTCGCACATGACATATGACTGAAGGGAGCTACAGCTATAGGTGTCAATACCATTAATACTTGCCCGTGGTGACTGGCAAGCAACCCTTTGAAACCTCAGACCCCCTTGGCCACCAAGTTTCATGCAGCGGGAGGATCGACTTCGGCAGGCGTTAGGAGGAGACATAGCATTGTAGCAGACTGCATCGCAAAATTGGCTGTGGGGTCTGACAATCAGTTCAATGAACTTGGAGGACTTGAGTTGGTGACATGTGAAGGCTATCATAAGCTGTCCAAGCTACTGCACTTGCCCAGTGAGGATCCCCTCCCTCTCAGCAAGCTTTGCAAGATGTTTCCCCACTCATCAGCTAGGCTGTGAACTGGTCCCTATCCATTCAGTGGATAACCTTTAGCCTTTTTTGGAGCATGGGTTTCCCCACAAGGGTGATGCGAAAAGGTTGAAAAGGTGAACCTTTGCTTTCCAGGGACGCTGGAGAGGGTCAGTGGTAGAGACATTGATCCATTGCTCCTCAAGCCTGAACACCCTCCCGCATCCCGCTCAGTACCAGCGCTCGGGCGTCAAGCAGACTCTCCTTTGTTTTTGCCTGGCTCCTTTGGTAATCTTGGCGGCCATCGGCGCGCTGCCATTCATAGCAACGTGGCAGAGATGCAAAGTACAAGCCTCACGAAGTCGAAGATTCTTGGGATCTTTGGATCTTTGGGGTCAAAACCAGGTCGTTCTGGCTCCACCACCTTGTCGTTTCTTTACATTTGACATGTTCGAGTCCGTGGTCATCAATTCGTTCAAGTCAGAGTGGGTGACAGTAGCGGGACACCAGGGGAACGTTCT